CATAAAACAGGTAAAATCATTTTTTTTTTTGGTCTTCTTTTTGACTTTTTTATAAAAGTTTTCCAGTGTTGAGAAAAAAAAAATACAGTTAAAGTGCTTAATTTTATTTTTATATTAGTCATTGTGAGAGTTTATATAGAAAAAAAAATTGAATTCAATATTGTTCAAGGATGGCACACACGGGGTAAAAAAAAACATCAAAAAATGGCACAAAAAAAGTACTTTGGGGCCACCCTTGAACCTTTTTTGAAGTAAAAAAAAAAAAAATTATATATAAAACAAGGGTTTGCGTACCTTATAAGCTTCTTCTCTAGTCCAAAAAAAATGTTTACCTAATTTTGAACCACCTTCCACCTTAATATATATATATATATATAAATATAAATATATATATATATATATATATATATATATATATATATATACATATATATATATACATATATATATATATATATATATACACACATATATATATATATATATATATATATATATATATATATATATATATATATATATATATATATATATATATTTTTGTTGAAAGTTGAAAAGATGTGGACCGCTATGTAGCATAAAGTGCTTCCATAAACAAATTTTTTATCCATTTTGCGTACCATGAGATTATTCCAATAATCTATTGCAGAGACTTAGCATTATCAGGTGGTGATAACTTAATAAGAAGGGCGAGCCACTAAGGATCAGGTTTTAAACAATCATATGATATAAGGTAACTTAAAAAATCTGATGTATCAGTTGAAAAATACACTTCCCCACATTAAATGTAATTCCAGCATCTATGGCAGCAATTCTAAATTAACGCAAGTTTTTGTTATACGCTTTCTGGTTATTACTACATACAGCGATGTTATCAATGAATGGGAAACAGTCAATTAGTTCATAGACCTTGACAAGGTTGTCTATTTTGAGTAGAAAACCTCCTGACCCATTTATTACCCAGTAAATCCTGAAGGTTTTAGAGTGGATTGCCGCAGTATAATGTCAGCTTCAAAAGCAGTTTATATACAATCACATTTGGACAAATTTGATAGTAAGTAGAACCAAGGTCTAAATTATGTCATGCTCATGATTGTTTCAATCTTAGGTATTTACCTAAGATTGCTTTAAAGCATCTAACTGGGTTGATTTATTGATTGTTTCAAAACAATCAAATACCATACAACAATTATTCTTATAATTTACAATCAAAACTTGAGAAAGGTGAATTTCTTGGCTCTATTATTGCTGCTATGACCAAACTGTTAGTTTCAAATTTAATAAACTCTTCTTGAAAATAATGTCAAATCTGGTGGCAATAGTTCAATAATCTTTTGTGAGAATAAAAATCATTTCTGGAGGCTCTTTTTTATTCTTGTAAGAGCTGCAAAGATTATAGGTGGTCATTTTCTACAACATTTAATGGGAATACTTTAATACAACTCTAGAAATCAGTACCACAAATGATTTTGATACATTAGTTATCACTATCACCTTTCTAATTTCTTTTTTTTTTTCCTTCTACTCAAGACTGCACTGTTTTAGATGTAATTTCTAATCAAATTGACAATATTCTCTTTTAGATGTAATTTTTAATCAAATTAAAAATATTCCCCTCTGACAATATTTTTGTTATTGGTGACTTTAATGCTCATCACACAGAATGGCTTGACTCTAACACCACTGACCCTGCTGGCACTAAAACCCATAACTTCTACATTTCTAAATTTCTTACTTAGTCAACTTTGTGACTCATTTTGTCACTCACCTTCACTCTATGATTTGTGTCTTGTCCCTGAGCCTAGTTTGTGATAAGTTTCTTTTCGCTCTCCTTTAGGTGGTTCCAACCATGCAATGATCTCTATACATTGTTTATCTTCTTCAAACCTAAATCTTTGTGCTACTTAATACTACTCTAAAACTGATTCTTTTCATGATTTTCTTTGTGATGATCCTTGAGCTAATGATTTTTCTCTCTTCGCCAATAAATGCCCCTCCTACATAAAGGCAGGTATGAAAGCTTTTATTTCTCTTTATCGTTTCTAAATTAAACCTCATTCTATTCCATGGTTATTATCTTGTACAGCTGGTAGATTTAATAGTAATCATTTTTTCATATTTTTCAAAACAACAACACTCTTGAGAACAAGTACATATTTATTATTGCAAGAAATCAATGTAAGAAAATGCTTTCTGATGCTAAGCTTTATCATTCTCAGTTTACCATATTTTGTATCTCAAAAGATAGGTTCTAGAAACTTTTAAAAAAATTTCAATAGTACTACTAACAAAGGTAGGTCTAACATTCCATCTCTCATTCATGGGACTGATCTGATTACCTCTCCAAAAATTAATGCTGAACTATTTGCAAAGAACTTTTCTTCTAATTTGATTCTTGAACCTTATGGCCATACTCTTTCTTTACTTCCAGTTAAACAGGTTAACCCATTGTTAGGCATTGAAATCACTCCAGGTTTAGTTGCTAAAACCATATCTCAATTAAACTCCTCTATAGTTCGCTCCAGACAACATTCCTGTCATAGTCTCCTCTAGTGTTCTTCAGAATTAATTTTTCTCTCTATTCTTGCTAAACTATTTAATAAGTACTTGACTGAATCTTGTTTTCATGTTTGTTGGAAAATGCCACTGGTGATTCCAATTTTTGAAAATTCTGGAAAACATTATGACCCTTCCTGCTCCCATCTGATTAGTGTTCTTTCTGTTAAAAATCTTTGAGTCTTTAATCAACAAATTTTGAACATCCTATCATGGTTCAAATAACTTACAATACAGTTTTTGATCTTCTTGTTCTACAGCTAACTGTAGAACAACTACAGTTAACTGACTAAAATATTTTATCATGCATTAGAGGCGGCAAAACAAGCACTATTTTTAAAGCTTTTAATAAAGTTTGGCATGCTAGTCCTCTGCATAAGCTTGCTTCATATGGTGATTTTGGGAAAGTTTTTTAGGTTATCAAATCATTTTATTCTAATCCTTTTATCAAAGTCATCCTCGAAGACCAAGACTCTTCTTAATTTATAGTACTTTCTGGGGTACCACAAGATTCTATTCTTGGTCCTGTTTTGTTTCTTATAAACATTAATGATCTTCAGACAATCTTACATCTAAAGTGGCTCTATTTGCTGATGATTCAGTTTTATGTTTTTATTATCAAAAATCCTGTTTTGATAATAAACTTCTGTTTTTGATCTCTTTAAAAAGGCAGCCAATTTTGTGGCAATTAAATGGTAACCCTCTCACTGAGTCTTCTTATTCTTGCTTTCTTCAATTATTGTTTACAACTTAACTTTCATGGAAATATATTTACAATCGATTGCTAAGTTAACATCTGTTAAGGTCATAAATATATAAATTACTGGATATAGCATAGACATGTCCAGCTTAATAATTTTAGAAAAAAATTGAAGCCAATCTTCATTGAAAAAGTTCAAATACAAATTTGTTAATATTTAAATGTTTAATAACTTAAATCCAAAACTCATTATGTTAGCTTATATATTCTAAGTGATTTCGTTACTAGACTGACAACTAAAGCCTAATAACATTTTTCTAGTATCATGTTAATTGAGAAATCTGAAAATCCAATGATAAGCAGCTATTTTATAATGAAGTTATATTGACAAATAAAATAAATAGTCTAAATATTAACAATATATTTTCATTGAACCAATTTGGTTTTCTAAAAGATGGTGTTTTTAGAAGACTATAACCATATTTATATACATCTTTATCTATGCGTATTATATTTACTACAATATATATTTATATTTATGTATATTACTAATATTTGGAATATCCTATATTGACAAAGAATTTAAATTTATTATTTAAAGTTAATTTGTTTATAATATCAAGGAGTATGTGTATATATGTAAATAAGTGAACCGTTGTGTATTACCATATATACTTTTGTATACTTAATGGTGTGCTCAATAGATAAACTAGAGCAATATAATACTGTTACTGTTACCCACAGTACCAGGAAGTAGCTAAATGCTAATATTTATAATAAAATATTGCTACTCAGAGTTGTATGTATTACTGCAATCATCAGGCATGTAGTAGAAAGTTAATTTTACTACCTATATATATATATATATATATATATATATATATATATATGTATATATATAGGTAGCAAAATTAACTTGTAGTAATACATACAACTCTGAGTAGCAATATTTTATTATAAATATTAGCATTTAACTAATTCCTGGTACTGTGGGTAACAGTAACAGTATTATATTTCTCTAATTTATCTATTGAGCACACCATTAAGTATACAAAAGTATATATGGTAATACACAACGGTTCACTTATTTATATATATATATATAAATAAGTGAACCGTTATATTTTGTATACTTCACTTATTTATATATATATAAATAAGTGAAGTATACAAAAGCATATATGGTAATACACAACGGTTCACTTATTTATATATATATATATAAGTGAACCTTTATATTTTGTATACTTCACTTATTTATATATATATATATAAATAAGTGAAGTTTACAAAAGTATATATGGTAATACACAATGGTTCACTTATTTATATATATATATAAGTAAGTGAAGTGATACAAAAGTATATATGGTAAAACACAACGGTTCATTTATTTATATATATATATATATATATATATATATATATATATATATATATATATATATATATATATATATATATATATATATATATATATATATATATATATATATATATATACATAAAGCAAAAACTGAACTCAGAATTATAAAACTTCAAATTTTAATTTAACTCAGAATTACATTTTTTAGTTTTAACAGAAGATGCATCTGGCAAATTAAAGTTTAAAAGCATTAAAACTGCTAAATTGGATGTTTTGAGATAAGCGTTAATGACTAACATACATGTAAACTTATACATACTTTATTTAAAGCAATTTTAATAATATATGTATAAAATATAAAAAAACAAGCCACATTACCAGTTGCATGGAATAGGAACAATACTTTTATTACAGTCAAAATCTTCAGTTTTTATTTCGGTTCTAAAGTAGAAGGTAAAAATGAGAAACAAAAATAAAACAATCAAGGTTTGCTTTTTTTTAATAAATAAACAAAATATCATCATCATAAGAATAATAAATTAAAGATTGTATAATTTATTTAAAAATAAGTTAAGTTAAAAGGAGTAAATATTATCTTCAGTCTGAAAAACAGGCTTCATGTCTTTGATAGTGCTTTTGCTAAGATCACATAAAGAGAGCACTATAACAAGAAAAAATCCATCACTTATAATTTAGGGTGTCAATTAATAGCTTTGATTGAGTCAATTGAGAATTTTTCTCTAATAAGTTTAACCATGACTATAATACTAAAAAACATAAGACATTAAAATAAAAAATATATCCATCTAGTTTTATCTCTTGCAAAACTTAAGACATTTCCATAGACATAATTAAAATAAAAAATATACATATATAAGCTGTTTTACGTTCCAGTATTGATGGCTATAATCTTTTACTTTTTAAAGATTCCAATAGCACAATAGGTCTCTAATTTTTTTAGTCTATACACAGGCATAAACTTAAATATCAATTTACTTATTTTTCATGTAATTAAGTTTAAATACTATGGTTATTCTTTTAAGTGTTTTTTAAATTACCTCTCTGTTTTTTATCATTCTCCATATTTCCAATAATTTGATCAGGCTCTGTTTCTTTATCTGCATGTCAATTTTCTTTTTTTTTTTTTTTTTTTTTTTGTGATTTAATGCTCATGTTACTAAATGATACATCTCTACTACCACTGACCTCTTAGGCATTTAAGGTTACCCAATTAGTCAACTTTTTGACTTGCTTTCCAGACAACCCAAATAATTTGTCTTTGATTCTACATTGTGTACAAGCTTCAATATCTCCTCATTCCACTTAAGGCTGTTCAGATTATGCTATGATTTTACTTAAACTTTTATCTTAAATTTTTTCACCCATTCCTCTGAGATATTTGAAGGAGTGTTAGGGTTAAGTCTGTGGTATTATAACATAACATTGTAAAAAATAATTTTGAACTTAAATCAAATATGCTACTCATTATTCTACTACATTTAAAGCATATTCAAAGCCTACAAATACAAGTTCCATTTTAGTTTACTAATTCAAGTTTTAGGATAAGTTATAAAGAAACAAAAGGAAAAAAAAAATGTTTTAAATGGCAAAGTTATTTGAAACCATTATTAATAAGATTTTGCAAAATACAAATGTGTGTTAAAAATGTAGGCAGTAGTGCCGTTGAGGTTGGTATCACCCAGTGAAATAAACTTTTAGTGTCACCTATCTAGACTTTTACTAAAAGGACCAACAACATGAGTTTGCGGAAGTGGAGGAGCACTATCATCAAGTTTCAAAAAAGCCATCTATATCTAGAAATTTCTAAAAAAAAGGGGTGTTTAGAAAAAAAATGAACAATGAGCAACTCTATCATATTTGCATTTTTTATTTGGTGTTACCCTTCTGTGTCAGACCATGGTGTCACCCATTGCAGCCCACACCTAGAGGTGATTTTAAGGGGTCCCCCTCCAAAAAAAAAGGTGATTTTTAATTTATAGTCGGTTTTTTAATGAATTTAGTTGGCTAGTTGGGTATTTGACACAGTTCAGTTGGGTAAATTTTAGTTTAGGACCTTTTTTTCAGTAGTCAGACAGTACTTTGAGAGGATTCACCCCTTCCCCCACTCATTTTATTTGTAGAATCGCCTCTGCCCACAACACTTGGACCGCCTAGTGATGCCACTGAATGTAGGCAACACCGTATAACTTTACGTAAAATTACCATATTTTTTGAACAACTTAATCCATTGAAAAAGCTATTGGACTGTTGTGATGTTTGCTTAAAAAATATTACCCCTAATTTTAAAAATTTTGGTTATTTTGGAAAATCTTTTTGACTTAACTTATTTTATAAAAACCATCTAATTTTAAAATTGTGAAACTTCTAATAAAAAAACAAACTAGTGTTAAAGTAAAATATGTTTTTTAAAATAACCTTTATAAAGAAATTAATGAAATACATTTTTATTTATTACTCTTGATAGTTGGCAGATAGTTTAGTTTATTGTAGGCATAATGTGACACATTATTTGGCATTTAGCAGAGCCATATAAATATGATTTTGGGTTAAAAAGCAACTAATCATTACTTTGCCTATCAACCTTGACTAATCATTCAACTAGTTCTTTTTACTGTAGTTTATAATTACATTTATGATTCCTTCATTTATAATAACAGTTTTGCAAACAGTTTATATTTTTTTAAGTCTTTTGACAATCCCTTTCTTGTTCTTTAACATTCTTTTTTGCTTCCAGTGAACTCCTATTTTAATTAGTGGTAGTTTTATTTTCAAGCTGTAAATGAGTAGGATTTCAGTTAGATAAATAAGCTAAAATTTATATTATAAATCTAAAATGTAAATTGTTTATCAGAAAAACAACTTATAAGTTTAAGGTGTTTAAGGTTTAATTGTACCTTTAACAGCTTTAACTTAACAGGTAAACTTTTTGTGGTTTTGTGAAATGACTAAAGATTTCGTACAACTTTCTAAAAATAATTTTTACTTTTATAATCACAGTATGAAAACAACTTTTCATCAATTGAGTCAGTATTATAAAAAATTGTTTTTACAGGTTAAATGCAAGTCGAACTGCAGGAATCCAAAATACTTTTAAAAACTATTTCAAACCGTTTTATTCGACTTATAAAACTATTTAAAAATTAATGAACTATTGTAATTTATAGAATAGCATTAATAACTAACAAAGGTTTTCGAAAATATAAAATTTTCAAGTTAAAACTATTATTAACACTAAAATTTAATTTTAAAATTCAATTTCTAATTTTTCAACACTTTTTTTTAATTAATAATCTATTTTAGTTAAAAAAAATTTATTTATTTACAAAGCTTCAAACTTATTTGCCTGACTTTTGTTAGTATTACTTTCGACACTGTCAAAAATTGCTGTAAATGACAGCAAGTTTTTAATTTATAATTTTTCAAAATTTTTACTTAACAGAAAACTCTTTATTGAATTTGCTGATATCAATTATCTTACTGCCACTAAAGTGCCTAATCAGGGCCGTGGCACCCTATAGGCCAACTAGGCAATCGCCTAGGGCGCCAAAGTTTAGGGGCGCCTAAAAATTGATAAGTTTTTTTATATGCTAACAAAAAACAACGCTTTTGCTCATTGAGCAATATGTACGTACATTTTACCGAACGCAATCTAAATCATAACAAATATGGCGGCGTCTTTACAATCAAAGTGATTTTCATAACAACTTTCAATAGTTAGTCGACTATATTCTTTATATAATTTATACTGACAATATATATATATATATATATATATATATATATATATATATATATATATATATATATATATATATATATATATATATATATATATACATATAGATGAATAGTGACATTCTATATACTATTATACATTTATATTAAGTTTTAGACACTTATTAAGAAAAGTAAAATATTTTTTATATGAGTATATAATAACTAGCTTAAATCTAGGGCTATTATATATTACGTATTATATTATTATTATACTTCACCATACGTATAACTTTGCTATACAAAATAAAATTTGAATTATTTAAACACAATGCATCTAGCAGGTTAATTTTTTTGTTGAGTCGCCTCTACAATATGTCTTGATCTGCACCAGCTAATTACACATTGAAATATATATATATATATACGTATAACTTTGCCAAGTTGTTTTTTGTATAATACAGTTAAATGATAACCTGTTAAAACCTTACAGAGCTGTTCAGACCTGTTGGAAACTATAGCTAGCTATATATAATTTATTCTTGAAGCCAATCACAGAAGACCTATTAATGTATTAGTTAAACATCGCAACATTCATTTATTTTATTATTTTCTTGTTACATTTCAGATATGGCTGAGAGAAAGAAGCCTTCAGGAGCTCAATATCGTAAACGAAAAGTTGAACAGCAGAGGGAACAAGAAAAACAGAAGGGTTCATTGCTAAAGTTTATATGCCGACAAGACTCTACTAAAGAGGATAGTAATGGTGGACAGATTCCCACTGATATGGAAGCTGAAGAAATATCTAATGTTGTTGATAATGATAATGTGATGATGAGTGAAACACTTTCTTACTCAACAGTTCCCGTTTCCCATGCAGATAATGGCCAATTGAATAATTCTCTCGAGGAACATGTACAGCAAGCAAGTGAAGAAAAAACGGATAATGTTATTCCACAGGATCCAGCACTTTGGCCTCTACTAATTAATCATAATACACGTGCAATCATTGTAGAACGTGGACCTCAGCAAATAAAAGATATCAGTTTCCCAAATGATAAGAACAATCGAAAGTTTTCAGTATTTCACTACTTAAGAAAACTTCCTAATGGAGAAGAATTATGTTGCAGCTGGCTCTTGTACTCAGTATTAAAAGACTCAGTGTTTTGTTTCTGTTGCAAACTGTTCGGTATGAAAGCAATTGGCATATCATCACTAACTCATACAGGTTCAAGTGACTGGAAAAACATGGCGGCAATTCTTTCTTCCCACGAGAAAAGTCCTGAACATTTGCAGAACTATCAAAAGTGGAAAGAACTACATCAGCGATTACAGAGGGATAGTACAATAGATGCAGAAATTTTGCGCAAGATGAAGAATGAAGAAAAGTATTGGCAGCAAATACTAAAGCGTTTAATAGCATTAGTGAGAGTTTTGGGTGAACAGAATCTAGCTTTTCGCGGTACAAATGAAACATTGTACAGTGCCAATAACGGGAATTTTTTAAAATTTGTGCAATACTTAGCCATTTTTGATCCATTAATGAACGAACATCTACAAAAGATATCAAATAAAGTATCTTGGCGAAGATATACAAAACACTATCTTGGCGAAGATATACAAAATGAACTTATTCAACTGTTAGGAAATGCTATTAAGAAAGAAATCATACAAACAGCAAATGCAATGAAATATTTTTCAATAGTTCTCGATGGTACTCCTGACTGTAGCCATGTTGAGCAAACGACAATAATTATTCGTTTTGTTAAAGTTGATTCATTGAAAAAGGAGTTTAGTATCAAAGAACATTTTTTAGGCTTTGTACCTTTAAAGAAAACAACTGGAGCCTATATGGCAGAAACGATAATACAACAACTAGAAGAAATGGAGTTACCTATTGATAATTTACGTGGCCAAGGCTACGATAATGGCGCAAATATGATAGGCAAAAATAATGGTGTTCAAAAGAAAATATTAAACATTAATCCTCGAGCATTGTTTGTTCCTTGCAGCGCGCATACTCTTAATTTGGTTGTCAATGATGCTGCAAATTGTTGTCTAATGGCTACAAGTTTTTTTGATATTGTCCAACGTGTGTATGTATATTTTTCGTCTTCAACACATCGGTGGGTAGTTTTCACTAGTCATCAACCTACGTTAACTGTTAAACCTCTAAGTGAAACAAGATGGGAAAGGAGAATAGATGCTATAAAGCCTTTGCGATATGAACTTGGTAAAATATATGATGCACTGCTAGAAATAGCTGATGATACTTCTCTAACTGGATCCTGAGGAAGTACTGCACGCAGTGATGCTAAAGCACTTGCGAATAGTGTTGCAAAGTTTAAGTTCGTGGTTTCAATTGTTGTATGGTACAACATACTTTTTGAACTCAATATAACAAGTAAGCAGCTCCAAGCTAAAGATTTGGATATTCATGCTGCTGTACAACAGTTACAACACACACAAGCCTATTTGGTTGACTGTAGGAGTGACATAGGTTTTGCAAGAATGCTAGTGGATGCTGCTGAAATTGCTAAGGATTTGGAGATATCACCAACCTTTGAGGCAGAACCACAATTACGGCGGAGTAAAAAAAGCAATTTGCATATGAAGCTGGAGATGAGCCTGTGCGAGATCCAAAACAAAATTTCAAAGTGAATTTTTTCTTTGCTATACTTGACACAGCAATAAGGTCGGTTGAAGAAAGGTTTGAACAAATGAGAACAATTGAATCTGTATTTGGTTTCTTATACCATATTCATGGTCTACAGAGTAAAACTTCACAAGAAATATTGGAATGTTGCATGAAACTAGAATCTGCTTTACAACATGGTGATAACAGAGATTTAGTTGCATCAGATTTGTGTGGCGAACTACAGTCTATTGCACGACGACTTTCTGAAGAAACAAAGTCTTCTCAAAATGTTTTTCGATTTATTCTTTGCCAAAACTTGGAAGACAGTCTACCCAACCTTTGTATTGCTCTTCGTATTTTGCTGACATTACCTGTTTCTGTCGCTAGTGGAGAGCTTAGTTTTTCCAAACTAAAATTGATAAAGACATACATTCAATCATCCATGTGCCAAGACAGATTGGTTGGGTTGGCAACTCTTTCCATTAAGCACAAACTTGCAGACAAGCTGGACCTGAAGGACCTTGTGATCGATTTTGCCCAGAAAAAGGCACGCAAAATACAGTTTTGATATTTTTAAATAAATAAATACTTACCTTGTGTTTTCACTTTATTTTGCATTTTATTTTGATTTTTTTACGTAAAAGGGGTGCGACCTTTGAATTTTTGCCTAGGGTGTCATAATCCCTTTGCACCGGCCCTGTGCCTAATAATATATTATATTAAGTTTGTTGTAGGCAATATATTGCTAACAGTAAACTGTAGGTTGAAAAATTTATGGCCGTGGATAGCCTACCGAAAGTCGGTAGCGGAAAAAAAAAATTATCCTACCAAAAGTTTTTTTTATTGGTTGACAATATCACATGTCAAAATAAACAATATTTGTTATACAATAAAATGAAGAAATTTTAAGATATTATTTTTAAAAAACAAAAACGTAAAAAATGTAAAAAAATTAAATAGGATTTTCCGTTAAATAAATAGAAATGACTGCCACCCCATACCAAAACCCTCAGTCTATGCATGTACACTACACAACGCCTATCCCTATATTAGTAAACGTATGTGCCCTTCACTGCGTCTATCCCTAAGCTAGTAAATGTATGTACACTTCACTGCGCCTATCCCTAAATTAATAAATGCATGTACATTCCTCGGTGCCTATCCCTAAATCAGTCAGTGTATAAACACTCCATTGCGTCTATTAATACATTGTGCTATTCCCAGCGTATATCCCTAAATAATTTATTCAATTAATAAGCGTAATAAAACCTAAAAAATTTGGAAAAAAACAATCGAAATGTAATAAATATTCCATACAAAGGATTTGAACCCAGAACGCCTGCGTGAGGGGCTAAGATTATATCCGATACACTACTGAATATCGAAACTACAATCTTAAAAATATATTTATATAGCAATTTTATTGTGACACGTGATATTTCCTTACTAATAAAAAAAAACTTTCGGTAGGATAATTTTTATTTTTCCGCTACCGACTTTCGGTAGGCTATCCACTGCGAAAATTTAATACAAAAAGTCAATGTTTACAATGAATTTCGGATCTGAAACTTTTATTTTCGCTTTTGACCGTAAACCCGGAAACCGTAATTTAAAATGCTTCAAAAATATAAAATAATGTAAGGGGTCGTCCATAAATTACCTCCATGCAATTTTCGACCGTTTTTGACCTCCTCGCCCCCCCTTACTTCTCTCTCCCTCCCCTCCCCCATCTTTTTTTTTTTTTTTTTTTTTTTGTTCTTTTATTACATGTAAAATAAGCATTTCGTTACAATATTTCAAATACAAATATATAATAATAAATTTATATATAAATATAATGGTCGTTATTAGAAAATAAAAGAACGCGGGGGACTCGTAGAAGACCATACGGTCTTGTCGTCGAGTACCGCTAAGAAATGTTCGTGTTAAAATTTAAAAGATAATTACAAAGTAAAAAAATAAAAATAAGTTAACAAAAGTAAGAAACTTAAAATAATCCATAATAAATACAAGATGCGTTTTATCTATTATATATGTAAATTATAGTTGTTAAGAATACATATATACTTTTTTAAGTTCATGTTTAAATAAATGGTAAAAATAAAGATCACAAAAAATATTAGAAGTATATTGTTAAATCATCGATTGTAAAAATGAGCTCTTTAAGCTTTTGTTTAAAAGAAAAGTAGTTACTTTGATTAATAAAATCCTCAGTAAAATTTTTTAAAACTATTTTATTCCATAAGAATGGTCCGCGATAATCAATACAAAATTTAAAAAGATTTGTTTGAAAATTGGGCTGCTTAACAAAATTATTATTGCGTAAAATGTATTTATTTTTATCTTTTGATGAATACAAATTATGGAAAGAAATCGGGGATGAATTGGTTTTACATTTAAACATAAAACAAAGAATATTAAAAATATTAATCTCATATATATTAAAAACTTTCATTTCAAATAAAAGAGGCTTGGCATGAGTATAACGGTCTTTAAAATATATAATACGTGCTACATGCTTCTGCTGACAATAAAGAGGTTTAAGTTTGTTTTTATTTGCACTACCCAAGCAATCTTTGCATAGTTTATGTGGCAATGAATAAATGAGTGATATAATTGTACTAAAGTTTGTTTATTTAAGACATTTCTCGCTTTGTACAATATTCCTATACTTTTTGAAATTTTACTTGATAAGTTTTTAATGTGATTTTTCCATGTAAGATTTTCATCTAAACAAACTCCTAGAAAATTAGTTACTGTTACTTTTTTAATTTGTATATTGTCAATAACAAGTGGAGGCATGTTAATTGGCAGTTTATGTTTTTTGGTAAGAGGATGGAAAATAATCCATTTAGTTTTATCAATGTTCAGAGATAGTTTGTTTGTCTTAAACCAGTCATATATATTGATTAACTCGATGTTCACGTTATGAAATAAAGTATGAATGCTTTTGTGAGACATAAATAAATTAGTGTCATCAGCAAACATAATTGTTATTAAATTCGAGGCTTTGTATAGATCATTAATATAAATAAGGAAGAGAAGAGGTCCTAATATGGATCCTTGAGGAACTCCACATGTAATATTTAACAAATTTGATGAAAATGATTTATCAGCATAAACAAATTGTTTACGATTAGTTAAATAACTTTTCCATCTCGTCACAAAATAGCAACACTTGTCACAAAACCACAAACCTTTACCCCCTCCTTCTTAGGACGTGACGTAGTTTATGGACCCCATACAGTTACGAAGTTTTGTTTTTTTCAATAGCGTAAAAAATTTACCTTTGTAAAACAGAGACTTGACACCATAACATTGGTAATATAAACTTTACAAGCCACATTATTTATTTAATATAAACTTTCTAAACTTAAAAAAAAATTGAACAGCAAAAATCAATGACATCAACTGCTTTATAATTTTTTAAGTAAAAAACTTCTAATAAAAACTATTTGGTTCTTAAATTTAATTTTTTTTTTTTAATCTTTATAAAGCTTTGTATTAACAACATGATGAATTTAAAATATTATTTTAAAATATCGTAAAAACTTATCTTAAAAAAATGTTCACAAAGATCTTGTTTTGAAATATGACTCGGTTTCAGAGTTTTAAAATTTGACCTGATTTCAATGCTTTGAAATTTGACAAAAATTTCAAATTTTTGAAATTCAAATATTTGCGCTTGCTGGCAGTGATGGATCCAGGAATTTTTGGTGGAAGGGGGGCTGTTAAAATATTTTTTGTATTTTGTATCACATTTGCGTTTCCTATAAAAAAAAAGGTCTTCTATTTCTAAGATATTTTAGAACTTTCAGATTCTGGTAGGGGGGTGCATTCCCTCCCCACCTGGATCCGTCACTGCCTGGGGGTCAATTTTAAAATTAACTTTACATTAATTTTGTCTTTATGACTTATTTAGAGTTATGACCGTTTAAAAAAAATCTTGTTGTGTTGTTGTTATTGTTAAATGTGTGCAACAAATATACACCAAATATTTTTATGCGCTATTTAATTGTTTAATTGTTTATTTAGATGTCAATTTATGAACGGTTAAAATAATTTCTGTTATTAAGAAAAAGCAATTTTACAATTTTAATAATTTGTTTTTAAGCCATTAATTAACAATATTATAATACTGTCAAGTAATATCTGATAGAAGAAATATTTCCAAGAATTTATATTTATCCTAAAAATTATAATTTCGTGCTTTTCTCATAAGTAAAAAATAGTAAAGGATAACATAAGCATATGTGCATTCAAGACCTATAAATTTAATTAATTATTTATTAAGTTGGTGTTAAATTTACCTTTGGGTGCAGTTGTTATGAAAAATTATCTATTTTTTGTACTTGTACTTTGTACGAATTTAAAGAGCTTTTAAATTTCTTTTAAAAAAAGCAAACGGAATAAATGAATTGATGAATGAAATGTAACAAAATTATAGAATGTTTGAAGCTGTTAAAAGATATAATTTTAAAGTTTTTTAAATCAACAAACAACTTTAAAATAAAGCAATTAAAATTTTTAGTGGCGGATCCTGGATTTTTTGGTGTTTGAGATAGCAAACTTTCAGACATGGAGCAAACTCAAAACATTTGTATCTTTATACTTATATCAAATAATGATGCTTTGCAAAAAGCTGCAATAATTGGAGGCTGGGAACGAAAAAGCCCTTTAACTTCATACCCCCACCCCTTTAATAATAATAACAATGATAAGTAAAGATAACAGTAAATGTTAAACAACGGTAATGATAATAATATAGAAAAATGATAATAATAAAGAAATGAGTATAAATGGTGGTATCACTCAAACAGTAATCTGATCCAATCAGTGACGCTAAACTTTAAAGGATATAATAATAATACTAAGTAAATAAATACAATAACAATAATAAATTAGAATAATAGTGTGTATTTATTAAAAATATTTATTTGATTTACATAGCAAAGTTCCATAGTTAAGATAAACATTATCAATTATTAATTCTGTTTTCTACATACACAGCTGCATTGCTGCTGACGTAGGTGACCAGCTGATTTTTAAGAAAATGTCTACAGTTAGGCAATAAAGTCTAGAGTAGTTTATTTAATAAACATATTTATAACATTTATTTGTTGTAGCTAAATTAAATTTTAGTACATTTCTTGTAACAACATTGTAAATTTAATACAATATTTAGGAGTGGACACAGTATTATGAAAAAGAGGGAGTCCTAAGTGGGATATTTTGAGGATTGGTTTCCCCTCCCGGGGAAAAATTTTTTTACAATTTTCAAAAATTATATCTGGAAATAATGATATGAGCGTTCAGCTTCTGAACTTTTTATAAGCAATATGCAGGCAAGAAGTCTAAGCAACCCTGATACTTTGGGGAATTTGCGTCTGCTTTGGAATATGTTTCTGCTCTACTTAATGATTCAGGTTGAAACGAAGAGCCAAAGGTGTTGGTAAATCTTTAGTTAAAAACTTATATTCACACATATCTCTGGCAACTTCTCAAAAAAAAATTTTAAGGAGCGGAATTTAAAAAGGTGGGGCTATTGGTCTGTGTACCAGTAAACCTCAAAATAGTTAACTCAGCACCAATTGTGTTTGTCAACTCTCTTGCCTCTTCAAACCAGTCATTAAAATCACTTTTAATAGTACTTCGGATAGAAACTAGCCTTGCAATAATACTATCATGTTGCTATATGTACTGTAGATATCCTGATCAATTTTTGAAAACTTTAAAGCCAGCTGTTTTGTAGGTTCTAGAGCATTTTTTGCAGTGAATACTACAAAAGGTTTAAAGTTTTTAGAGATGGAAGTAAACCTTGCGCTTGGACTTGTTTCACAGTTCAAGTTCCAGTTCATAAATTCCACTTCATCATATCATCCCCTCTCAATTTTATCTTTATCAGACAAGTCAGCATCTGATTTCGAACCGCTTTGGTCAAGTGGACATTATTAGCATAAATATCCTAATAGTTGTCAGAGCCAGCAATTGCCTCAAATGTTATGACGATATATACTTGTACAAATCTGAAAATACTTCATTGCAAATATGCCTCTTAACCCGTCTTGTTTTGCAAAGGGCTTTCAATAATAGTGTTGAGAGACAGTTTTATATAGGGAGAATATCTAAAGAACAATTTAGTTCAAGCTAAATTTAGAAATATGTATTGTGTAGTCTGTTTTAACATGCAATGATGAATAATTAATAATGGATTTATTTAGGATATGAAAATCGTTTAAACATGTTAATACTTTGTTTAGAAAATATAAGACTTCAGGTGCTCGCGGTAAAGACTTTTTAAGGATAAAAAACATGAATAAAAAAAGTAAGGGACCTCAAATCACCCAGAGAAAAAAAATTAAAAGAACGCAAAAAAGGTTTAATAAACAAAAAAAAGAAACCGAAGATACAAAAAAATATCCTAAAGGAAATTATTGAATACTAAGTTTCTTTTTTCTTCATTTTTTATTTTTTCGAATGAGGTAATCTTAGAAGAATAATATCTCAAGATCTCCATATAGTTTAATTTTTAAATACTCAGGAGTTATTTATTAGAATTCAAGGTAGGGGAGAGTGGGGTAATATAATACATAAAGAACCATAAAAATTGTAATTTTGGAGCTATTTTAAGAGTTGTAACAACCACTATTATATTGTGAAGCAGTTACTACTAGAGTTTTGTTTTGACAAAAAAAATTATATCTTTATATATTTTAACATCATAAGGCTTGCGAATAGGCAAAATTTTAAACAAATGATAACTTAATTAAAAAACAAGCCAGCATTAGATTCTTAGGAGTTCTTGTTAATGAGAAGCTATCCTGGCTTCCTCAAATAAGATATATTCAATCTAAAATCAGTAATATAATTGGTATGATGTATAGAGTTCGCTCATATATCAATAAACAAAGTCCAAAACTAATTTACTTGTTTCTCTGCGCATCAGCCTTCTCTTATTTTATACCCTTCTCAAAATTGCATAATTAATTAAACTTACATAACTAATTAAACCCACAAAAAATAGTTATTGAAACTGTTGTATTAACTTGCAAATAAACGCTTATTTAAACCAAAACGTCGTAATGCTTTTTTTATTTAATTTAAATGATAAAACAAAAAATATTATAAGTTTATTAATAGTTGAATAACGAGTTTAAATAATAGTTTAAAAAATACTACGAAAACAAAAAGTATTAAGACTTGCTGAGACAGATTTAATAGACTTCAAGTGCTGCACTCCTAAAATTATACTATTCTAACAATGTTTAAAAAGACTTTTAAAACTATTTTTTCAGTAAAAACATATCTGTTAGTTTAAATAATATCATTAGGAAAATGTGTCAGAAAAATACTTTTTTTTACTTTAGCATCAACGCAGATGTCGAACCTCGGACCTCTTGGTTCTAAGCCAAAACAGCGCCACGGCTGCAGTAAGTTTAAACGAGTAAATATTTGTGCCTAAGCTAACGTTATCCCGGTTTTTACGTAGGAAAGCGAAGCGTTAAACTTATTAAAATTAAAATTCTCATTGTATTTTCCTACGAAAAGACCGTACAGAAAATGACGGTCCTGACCTAGCCATGTGTATACGGAAGGTTTTTTGTACCACATATACTATTATTCTCCCCTTATATTCTTTAATAACAACCTCTGCTGTTGACGATGTATGGCATAAATACGCTGTACATTTTTGATTAATTTTTATGGATTAATCAATAATGTGCAGCGTGTTTCAGGAGAACTAACAATTTTTTTGACCGACAGGACTCCGGACTTTTGAGTAAAAACAAAGGCTCTTGGACTCCGGACTCCGAATTCCAACCTCGCATCCCTGGTTATTGGCCTGAAAGTAGCTATTTTTGAAATCATCTTTTCAATTCAGTTTTATAATTTTTAATTTGTGTGGATAGAACTCTTGGCGCTAAATACTCAAACCGTAGAAATATTCGTAACATGAAAAGTCTTTTAAAAGGACGTTATGATAAGCATGTTTCTCTGTACTTAAAGCGAATAAATAAGTAATAAACTGTAAATAAAGCGAATCGCCATGCGTAGGCTTCAAACAAGTTGACACAACGTTACTGCCAATAAACAATTAAGTTAATTTTTTTTTTAGAGAGAGAAAGTGGGGGAGAGTTCGGACTCCCAGGACCCATCCCTGAATCTGCCACTACAATGTTTTAAATTAAAAAAAGTAAAAAATCACTTTTAAAATAAATCTAAAAAAATGGTTTGAGTCGGGTTGACTATATTAAATTACTACGACTGTTTTACCTAAATGATAATTTGAGTCAATAGCGTAACGAGGTTTTAATTAAAATGACTACAGTTTAATTAAAGATTAATTATGTCCCAGAAAATATTAAAACACCAAAACAATTAGAAAAACATTATGATTCAACACTTAATTAAAAACAAACTAAAAATCCTTTAATAAAAGATTCGGTTCATTACAGTAATTGTTTAAATCAAAAACGTTTGGTTTTGGCCAAAATTTTGGCGGAAACTATGTTTTTGTTTACCGCCGCCAAAAATTTTCGTTCAAAAATTGTGATTGCGAGTAAGATGACCATTTAAGCCATCTTGCTAGCACAATGTATTTATTTGTTTTTCTACTTAATTAAACGAAAAGATAAGAACTTTTTTTTTTTTTAATTTTATTTCGGTGCCCCAAGAAGTCCTAACGGTCTTATCACAGAGTACCGCGGTTTTTACCGCGGTTTTTACCGCGGTTTTTACCGCGGTTTTTACCGCGCATTTAATTGAAAGTTCACGCCTTTTTTCTAAGTTAGCACAGAACGTTTTTAAAACGTTTAAAAAACCTATGAAAACGGTTTTTAACGTTTTTCACACGTTTTAAAAACGATCTGTACTTACTGGGAAGTGGGGTTTGTTTTTGAAATGGGAAGTGGGGATCCTTTGTTTTTGAGGCAAGTGCGCTACCACTGCGCCATAAGATAAATATAGATAAAATCAATCATTTTAAATCCTTGCCTCGTATTAGAAATATAATTTCTTTACCTAGTATTAGGTAATACTATAATAAGTATAATCAATATTTAATTTTAGCTATAAGTGTTTAATTTTGTTTTGGAGATAACGATCAAACGCAATTTTGCTCTATAAACGTTATTTTGATTTTTTTCGTTTGCCACTTTACTCCATTTTTTTTAATTGTCATATTATTATTGAAAAAAAAATCGTTAAAAAACTTTGTTAAAACAGCTTGCATTTTCCTACTAATTTTATTTTTATTATAATAAAAGATTACTTATTTTACTTTTTATTTATTTAATTTATTTTTATTATAATAAAAGATTACTTATTTTACATTTAATTTTTGTTATAACTCTCTTTGTTATAATCCCAAAACAAAAAAATTGAAAAACAAAGTGGCTGCGTAAAGCAACAAGTTGAAATATACGGCATGTCTCAAAAAGAATAAGGTTGGGAAAGTTTTAAATAGTGGAAATTCCAGCATGTTTAACAAAGTAAAAAGTCTAACGCGTATTTAGGAAATTCAAAAAATAACTGCGACGACAACGGTTTATTGATTTAAATGAAAATTAATATCAAGGGAAAATCAACGTGGCAAGCATTGTAAAAAAATGTCAATCATTTAACGATGATTTTTAACATTTTGATCAAATTTTACATTTTACGCACGTCACAGTTTTAATGAATATGATAATTTGTACGCTATAATGTCAATAATAAACCTATAAATAGAGATCCAGCAGCATTTAACTTTTAAAATTCAAATATAAGTCACGTATATAAGTTATGCAAAAAATTAAAAAAGTTTTATACTAAAATATTTAATCAAAAATCAAAAATCAAAAAAAATTAAAAAGCATAATGTGGGTTACACATATTTTTGCAACAATTTGTTGTGTTGGATTCACTCTATCATCAAGGTATAAAAATTCTATTTAATATTAATTTGAAATTTGCTACGATTCGTGTTTTGTTTTTTTGTAATCATAAGACAAATTAGGGATTGTTCAAAGTTCAACTTTTGTTCAAAAAATAGGAGAAATTCATTTGCATTTATGCGCGGCGATTTGTATTTAAAACGTTATCTTTTTTGTTTTGTTTATTAATTAACATAATATATAAATTACCCCTTGGTTAATTTAAATATTATGCAGCCAATTTTATATCTCTCAATAACCATGTGTTAACAAACAATGCTATAAACCTTGTTAATAACCAATTTATAGTTCTCAATAATCTATTAATTCTATTCTTATCATAATCTAATCGTTTAACCACATTTATCTCAATTTCTAAAAATACACGTAGAAAATACAAATTCATTTATTTTTTCATAATAAAACATAATGGTAAATTTAACCGAATTGAATCTAAGCATACTTCAGGTATCAAAATATAGCTCGGAACGTAACTTGAATGTTGTCTTTAATTTTATACGGTCAATCTATCTTATTTTATTTATTTGTTTATTTATAAATCATGAATTTAAAAAAGTTTTTAAATTTTTTGAATTGTAAAGTTAATTACTAAAATTAAACAATTAAGTAAATTTTAAGTGTTATATAAATAGTTAGTAGTTATAAAGTAGAAGTTTTTTTTATTATTTATTCAAGATTTTTGTTATTTATCTTCTGCATTAACAAGGTTAATGTTAACATATATCAATAGGTTTATAATAGGAACCTTTTTTTTAAGTGATTTTCACTTTGAAATATTTTCTTTAAGAGTTTGTTTAAAGATAGCTCTATAATATTTTGTATTTCAACACTTGACTGTTTGTTCAATACCTTCGGGAATTATATGAATTTTTTTAAATTTTCATAAATTAAAGTTTGATGAGTATTATTCTATTATAATAATTTTTTCAGAAATTTTTAAAAAAGTTTTTTTAACTGATTCTTGCTTTCATAATGTTCGTAACTGATTGTTGCTTTCATAATGTTCGTAACTGATTGTTGCTTTCCTAATGTTCGTAACTGATTGTTGCTTTTATAATGTTCGTAACTGATTGTTGCTTTCATAATGTTGATCTTTTGTCTAGTATCAGAATAATTTTTCCACCTCGGTAAAGAATAAATCGATAAAATTATTGTTCGAAATTTATTACTTAAATGTAAATGGTTTTTTCTTTTAAAACTCCAGTCCCATTCTGTAAATGTTGTTTGCTTACCACAAACGTTTGAAACCGGTCTTTTTTTTTTTTTTAAAAAAATACAATCCTTTAAAACATTCATTGAATGATTTAAAAAATAAAGTCATCACGCGTTCAAATTTTTATTGCAACCAAGTTTCCAATTATAACAACAAAACAATAACAAAAATAAGATAAAATTGAAACGTTTAAACTTTTCATTTTCAATAATAACCTTTTTTTTTTTTGAAAAAAAAAGGATAATGTTAATTGTTCCGCTTGAGACAGCAACCCTGATTGGCGCCCTTATTTATTAAAATTTCCCTATATTATAGATAATAGACTTTTTTTTATTGGTACCTTCTTCTCATTTCGCGCGCTTCTTCTCATTTCGGATATCTGGGCTTTCATTTTTTTACTCCACCGTGAAGTGAGGTAGTGGGAAGTGTCTAAAAAAGAGTGAAATGGTACTCATCTTCTTTACAAATAAGTTTATATTTTTTTGTTTTTAGAATATTATCACGTCATTGTTGTTATTCACTATGTTTATTTATTCTTTCCAAGTCTCAATTTTTTTTCAACAGTAAATTCCTTCAAATAAATATTTTCTCATTAAAACGGGGAATTTTACACAAAACGTTAAAATATTAAAATATTACAATACTAAAAACATATTAATATTGTATTCTTTGTTTTTTTCTATTTTTGCGTGTGCTTGTGTTAACGTCACGAAACGTATGCTGCGTCACTAACAGCGCAATATGCGTTGAATTGGTTAAATGCAATGCAAACAATTTATTAAAACTGTTAAATGCAGCCTTAAGGTTTTTATTTTTAAACTGAGCTTTTAAACGGTGCAAAGTTTTATTGACAAACTTTTATAAATAAATAATTCATTAAAAAAAAATCTTTATACCAAAAATTGCGTTTTCTTCAACACACCCAATCTTTTCATCTTAGGAAACCAGTTTCCTAAGATGAGCTTTTTTTAATGGAATTTAAAAAAACTCAGAATAGCAAAAAAATAATCACAAAAAAAATCAAATAAAATTTTATCTTCAAGGACTATACTTAAGTAAAAAGTAATCATCTCAACCATAAAAAAAAAAACAATAATAAATCTTTCTAATCTCTAAAAAAGTTGATACCTTTTTTTTAAAAAAAACGCGCTTTTCTTAATAAAAAGCCGTATCTCATCTTGAGCGTCTAAAAACGTATCATCTTAGGCAACTTCATCAAGTACTATCATAATTTAAATAACATGACAACAGCTTATGTATTATCTCAAGTAACCCATGAAATTAGTAGTAGATAAGCTAAAAATATTGAGGATGTAATAAATTTTTGATGATCTTGTTTCGTTCTGACGTAATTACAAAATATTGAATAATAAAAAATTATAACGGGGATGGTAAATTTTTTTAACAGTAAAATAATCAAAGAATATTAACTAAACAACCAAGAAATTAAAATAACACCGTCGAACTTGTATGAATATTCTTAACCGAAAAAATATCATTATTCTACCCGTAAAAGAGGTTATACTATCTTAGGAACCTGCTAATTTTACACAACCTTCCCCTATATCCATATCCTCTAAGTATGTCCAAAAAATACCGATTTGAGTTGAAAAAAAAACATTTGAAAAGAGATCAAAAAATTAATGTTACAAATCACAAATTAATGTTACTTTTCGCTCATAATTTAATTTTTTTTTCAAAATGTTTAGCTCAAATAGCCAAATGTTTACTGGATACCCATGACTCGATTGATAAATTTTCCCTAAATCGAAAATACGAATGCTTTTCAGAAATAAAATCAATTTGGTTCACTTTTATAACCAGTTTTACTAAATATAAAGCACTGATATTAACAATATAGTAACAATATTAATCTATTATCATAACAATATTAATCGATTATCATATTAGGAATATGTAATTGTAAAGATTTGCATTTGTACAAGTTCGCACTTATGCCTGTTTTTGCAATTGCTACATCTTTTTAGTTATGCAAGTTTGCAACTATGACAATTTTTGCAGTTGCTTTGCACAAATTCGCACTTATTCAGCCTCCTGGTTTTGTTTACTTAGTATTTCTACACCATGGCCCCCACATCCTGAAACATGCTGGAGCTTTCTGCAGGCCGTCTAATCACCCCTCCTTTTCCTAAATGATTGTGCATACAGAAAAAAGAATTTTTTTTTAAAGCAAATAAAAAAAAAAGGAAGAAAAACATATAAAGTTTGTTATTTAAGAAACCGCTTTTACTTTCAAAATCTAAAAAATTTTGTATTTATTTAGAGATTTTTAATTTACAAAGATTAGATTTTCAAATATTAAAACTTAAATTATAAATTTTTTAAAGTTAATTTTTCAAGTTAATGAGACTGAAAAAAGTTTTAAAGATTGATTCACTTAAAGATTGAACTTCGCTTTTATCATGAAATGGTATCGATGCGCTTTGTATTCACTTTTATCATGAAATGGTATCGATGCGCTTTGTATTCACTTTTATCATGAAATGGTATCGATGCGCTTTGTATTCACTTTTATCATGAAATGGTATCGATGCGCTTTGTATTCACTTTTAAAACATTAACTCTTTAAATCAAAACCACAAAAATGACCAAACTTGACTTTATTACATTTAACCAAACAAGATAGACAGTTTCCTTATTTGTTCGTCAATTTAATTATCAAAACTGTTTTATTATTTATCATAACATCTTTTTCAAAAATTATTTTAAACAATAAATTATATTGATAGTTTATCTATTTTTATTCCTCTTAGCAATCAAAATCAAGATTACTGACCAAAACAATGTTTAACAGTTCAATAACCAAGTAAATACCGTAAGAAAAATGCGATAAATGGTTTACACCACGGTTTGAAAAATCCTAGTTTGAGAATAAATACAAACGTGATGCTATTGTGCGTGCATGTGCGTGTATTAATACACATATTAGGCGTGTATTGATTTATCCGCCGGGCCCCCTTTACCTACAGGCCCAAGTGCTAGAGCACCAACTGCCCCTCCCCTTATGGGGATCATGATTAATACCACATGCTTTTGTTTAATTTTTTTGTTGTTGTTCTTCTTTTATTATTATTATTTTAATTTTTTTGTAGTTATTAAGGTGCTCTACGAAATCCTGAATAATGATATTCATTTTTTTTAAAGAAGTTTATAATTAATTTTTTTTTTTGGCAAAACGTTGAAAACGTCCAGCCGTTCTCGTAAAATTTTTAAGGCTAAAATAGTAAAAAACTTACATCGCTTTATTGAATCGTAATATTTTTTCAAAACATTAAACGATAGCCTAAAACAATAAACATTAAACAATAAACATTAAACAGTAGCTTAAGCCTAAAACCATTTGGATTTTCAAATTATCAAAAAACATGTCACCTTTTTTTTGAGAAATCATAGTGTTTAAAAACGACTAAAATACCAATTTTACAGAGTTACAATTTTACAATTTTATTGAATTTATTTATATATAATATATAACAATTTATTATATAAAAAACTTTTTATTAGGATGAAAGTTAAACTCTAGATTAAATAAGGGGTCGTCCATAAATTATGTCACGCAACTTTTGACTGTTTTGTCCCTTCCGCCCTCGTCACAACATCGTAACACTTTAGTAACAAGTCTCGTATGAGTTGTCACAAAATCACTCACCCCTACCCCTTCCCCCCACGGTGATTTAAGCCTGATATTTTATTGTGAGCATGCGCACATTTGTTGTTTTTTTTTAATTACGGAAAAAAATGGCGAAGTAGTTTTTATCTAAATAACTAAAATTCGTTGATTTAGTATTTTATTAAACAATTACTTATTCCTCGTGTAAAAACCTGAACTATATATTTTTAAAGTCTTACATTCTAGAAGGTTTTAAGTAAATCATAAAAATAAATAAGAATCTTTGTAAACAAAGAAAATTTTAATGAGCAAAATGTAAGGTTTTTTAGATAAAAAAAATAAAATATCTGTTAGCTAACTAGAGGGATATCTTTTGTTTGAAAATTTTTTGACTAAAAAGTTCAATTGTTTTAAATTCTATAAATCATGCCTAAAAATTCTATGCCTTTCGTTTTAACCTGTCATTTTTTTAAAAAAAGTTAACTGCATTTAACGGCAGGCTGGTAACATTTTTTGCGTAGTTTTTTTAGCTTTTTAATGGAAGAATTTTCTACTCTGAAAGCCTTACATAAAGTTCAAGTTAACCTTAAACTTACAATGCGTGCACGTTTTAAATCAAGAATATTATAATGTGTTTACCAGAACACTCTGATACTCAGAACAAAGTTGAATGTGTGTATATGTATGTGTATATATATATATATATATATATATATATATATATATATTATATACACACATAAAAATCAAAAAAATTTTTTCTTTTAAATTTCTGGCTTCATTGCTTTAGCTTTTGGATGGTTTCTTACATAATGTTCTTTCACCATGCTTTTCAAGCGGCTACAACCTTTCATATGACAAAACAAACGATTAAGATTGTTAAATTCAGCATGCAAACTTTCTCCGCCTTGTTCTCCATAAACTCCAATGCCTAATCCCCATTTTTGAATAAATTGAAGAACATGTGTTTCAAGCAAATGCATCTTTGGAGTTACAGATGCATTTGGCCAAGTTGATCTATAAAATCCCATAAGATTACAGATTGCTGATTCTAAAATTAAATAGTTTACATGTTTAAAAAAAAAGCCTAATTGAATTTCTTTAAATAAATTCCTCAAATTCTAACTAAAAAAAGCAACCAATTAATGTTTTTCAAAATAACTATTATGGCATTAAAGAATATGCTAACTTCAACTACAGTTTGCGTAAAACGATTTTAAATACCTACCTAGTTCCTGAACATCATTTTCTTGAAATGATTGTGAGCTGTTCATCAAGTTATGACATTTGGAATAATATTGAAACAACTGTTTAAATTTTTGGCTCACATTAACTGAGAGTAAATGAACGTCTGTATCAATAAAACCAAGATTTGAAATCAGTTTTGGAATAGAGTTGCACAAATCTAGCAAAGGTTGAGGCTAAATTAAATATAAGTAAAATTAAATAATTTTGAAATATTTTTATTAACAAAACGCAGGGGTGGCCGATGCGTTCAAAGCAGTCTGAACAAAAAATTAAAAAAAAAAAAAAGATTTTATCTGATCGATATAACCAACCCACCATGTTAGGATATTTAATATAAAACATCTGTAAAAAAACCTTAAGCATTGTGTGAACATGGTTTCCAACAAAGCATTTCCCATGATAAGCCTGTCTTTGTACCTGATTAGCCTTTAAAATTTCATCAAGTTGCTGAATGCAGGGACCTGAAATTTTATCAAGAATGTTTGCTTCATTTAATGAATTTAGTTCTTTCATCTAGAAAAATATTTTTCTTGTTAAATATATGCTACAGAAACTGTAGGTAATTGTATTGTAAATTTTTGAAATTGATATATTTTTGGCTTTCTAAAATTATGTTAAATATAATTCTAACTAAAGTCTAAATTAAATTCATATTTTTTTTGTAAATAATAAATACCTTATCAGTTTTTTTTAAATCATAGTAAAGTATTCTTGGTGCATATACTTTCCTTATTTCTTCTGTTCTGTCTGGTTCACATAAAACTTTTAATGAAATTGTGTCTTGTAAAAGTGTAATTTTATTATCACAGTCCTCAATAACACTTTTTATAAGATTTGATTGAATATGCATATTAATGTATTTGTCAAAATCATCTTTACCAATTGTATTATTTTTTAGTGCAAGCTCTCCAGCAAGTTTGATATCTAACAAGTGACATTCATCTTCAAACATGTTAAAAAACTTCAAATAGGTTCCTAAAGATATATGTAAAGCAGGTACTGCTACCTAAAAATAAAATTAAACACTATTAAAAACACTTAAAGCCATACAAATCCTCAAAATAAAACTAAAATACAGTGCTAAAAATAAATTACCTGGTCTAGAGGAATGTGAAACAAAGTTTCATTAATCACATTATTGAAAAACTTAGCCTTTTTCAAATTTCCTCCACTACTTTGGAATCGATTAAAATCAATGTTTAAAGATTTTAGAGATCGTTGTGAAACACCATTCTCTCTACTAATTGGAGCCAACTGGATACTTTCTTTGGTTATATCACAAAAAAGACAGCAATGTCGACCTATAATACCATAAGTAACAGTATTGAATGGAGTTAAACAATTATATCTTTAAAACTTTAATTTTTCAATCTTACAAAAGCTTTTACTTATGATAACTAAAAAAAAATTATCATCAAATAACATAAAATTTCTTTAAGTACAGCAAACCTACCACTCGCTCCTGTGATTCCATATACACTGCAAAGGAAATCATAATCTCCAAATATAAAAACACGAACATTATGATTTCTAAAAACAATTAAAATATATTAAATTAACACAAAATATTTGAATTTTATTTAAATTATCAATGCTTATTTCTTTAGAAATAGTAACTTACTGCCATATCATTTTTTGTATCTCATCAACTTGTAATGTATATCGAGATAACCCTACTTTAAGATTAGTTCGGTAGTCTCTTGCTTCAAACGTACTGAATACAATACTATTTGATTTTGAGTTTGGTTGGTCTTGGTTTACAATTTAGTAACTCATTTTAAATGAACCACCTCCATGGTCTCCTCCAATTTTTATGTGTATTTCATCATTTTTTATTCCATCATGTTTTATTAACTTAAAACTAATAAATTTAAATAAAATAAAAATATAACATAAAAAAATACAGCTTAAATAGTTTTTTACAATAGTTTATATTTAGATTTTTAAGTAACAAATTTGTACAAACATCCATACCTTTCAAGAATATCTAACAGGTTTTTAATATTAGTGGGTAGATTGTCTATGTATGCCCAGGGAGCATGTTTGATTTCAAAAACTGACTTATTATTTTCATTTTGAAATGTAAAATCTCCATTTAATACAACAAGATCATTTCCTGCCCAGGTATTTGCAACTACTCTTTGTTTAAAGTTTGAAGCAGTCTTAATATTTCTTGAGTTTAACCATCTACAATATTTAGTAAATAACACTTATTCATTTTTTTCACTAAATTATTTTTCATACTGCTTACTTATATATGCATTATTATGTAAATTAATAAAAGCATGCATTTTTAAATATACACCTACATTCACTTAAATAATAAATCAATTAACATTAATCTCTAAATAATTAACACTAATAAATAAACTAACCAATAAATATTTAAAAAAATAATTTTACCTAGTCATAGTTTTTAATTTATTCCACGGTACCCCTACATTTGCTTTAAAAGCAACCAATTCTTCAGCAGAAAACTCAACAACTCCAATCTTAGCACTTTCTAAAACTTTATTTTTTTGATTGTGATCAAATGATTTAAGCATAACTGATGTTTGCACTACTAGTGAATCTTTTGAATTTCCAACTTGATGATTAGCTTGGTCCACTAGGTGTTTGTGTCTTTTTCTCAAGGTATGACCACTGCAAGATGCACTTTCCTTGTAGGCTTTGGGCATAACAGTTAAGCAAAGGGGCTTTAAAATAAAAATATATATCAATACATAAACCTAATATCAGCAATCTTTATCATTATGAATATTCAAAATTCCAGACAAGAAATTTTATAGTTTAAGTTTTATATTAATGTACTTTACAAATATTATTACTCTTACTCTTGGGCCACCAGATAAAAATTCAATTGTAGTTGTTTTTGAATTCTCCATTTTTTGTTTAATTACATGCAACACTGCATCTTCAATATTACGTGGAATATGACTTGACTTATCAACTTTAAATAAATCATCAACTATTGTGCTGGAATTATTTAATAAATGATCTTTTTTGCACTCATGATTTTCATACTTGTCTTTAATAAAGTTTTTTTCGCAAATCTTGCATGCAATATACAAATGTTCAATCATCTCCAATACATGAACAGAACTACAAAGGCTATTAATCATAATGCAGGTTAAACAAACAGGACATCTTGCTTCATTTTCTAGCTTACCTTTAATAATTGATATAATACATTGACTACAAAACGAGTGCTGACAATCTTTGATCATGACTGGTTGATGCATTATCCTCCCACAAACTTTACAAATACATAATGTTATATGTGGGTTTAGCTGAATATTGAATTCAGAAATTTCTTTTTTGTTTAAAGGTAAGGGCAAGGATTCAAGAAACAAGTTTATATTTAGTTGTGTCCATCTTTTAAAAACTCCTGGCCGTCCAACATTTGGAGATGGTTTTCGACCAACTTTACCATAAATACACATACACTCCTTTGTTGGACATTTTAACCAAATTTTTGGTTTAATCTTAGATAGTTTATTTCCTCGTGTTTCAATATTCTTCATAGTTGAATAACATTTTAGGCACATTTGTGGTGGATGAACCTCTACACAATCTTCTTTAGTATTTATTTTAAAAACATTAAATATTCTTTCAGTCCTACTGGCAGTTGTTAGAGAGTCTTTTCCTGTTAAATTTCCACAAATTCTGCAAACTCTTAATAACTTTTGTTGATGTTTTTCAGTCATCTTCTAAATAAAATTTTTGAAAAGTTTTTAGCTAAATAATGAAATAACATATTATAAAAAAATGACAGGTTATAGAAGTCAATATTTTTTGAATATCAATGAATAATACTTTTATTAAAAACTAATCCACATGTCATAAAAATTTTGCTTCGTCCATAATTGAAATGTATATAAAGTGTTATTTTAAACAATATTACTCTTTTCTGTTTTAACTATTGTAGTAAATTTTCAAACATAAATTTCACTCAGATTTTTTGCACAAAACAGCTCAAGTATATAAAATACTATTACATTTGTCTAATTATTAAAAACCTCATAAAAATTGGATTTAAAATGGAAACAATGTTGTAAGGTATTTATTTGTTTTTAACACGATAAATACAAATTTTAATATTGAATATTTTTATCAGACGCATGCGTATAATAAAATCTCAAGCTTGCATAAGTACTGAATCACCGTGCCCCTAGAGCGACAACACGGAAGGGGGGGGGGGGGGTTGGATACGCCTATTTTTTTTCTAAAGGATCTTTTTTTATATAAGAATTTGTTAGAAATTCACGATTGTGCCCCTCCACTTTAAAAACCGTGTCGTCGTCACTTCGATCCCTAATGGTTTTTATTATTACCCAGTAGAAACAATATTGTTTTTTTTTGTTTTTTATCGCATCACTAGTTCTGATAAATATTTTTTTCTATTAACTTGTTGCTAGACAAAATAACAAAACCTTATTTTTGTTGTTATTTATAATAAAGGTGTTTTTTTTTAAATTTAAATTTGATATATTGGTTTCCAAAAATCTTTTGAAAATTTTTGGAAATCAATTTATCAAAATCATTGTTTGTCGCTCAGTCTGTATGTATACTTAATATATGCATTCAAGAAATGTGTGCTATTGTTAAAAAAAAACGTTTTCACAAAAAATGTTGGAGGAAGAAGTCGTGATACTGTTAAAAGATGTTGGGGGAAGAAGTCGTGATACTGTTAAAAGATGTTGGAGGAAGAAGTCAGTGGCGGATTTACTATTAGGCGTGGGGGGGGGGCGAGCTGCCCCACGCCCCCCTAGAACGGTTTAACGGCGCCCCCTAAAACAATCAAAAAAAAATAAATTGTAAGATCAAATTAGTGAAGACAACCCCGGTCGCCCCTATTCATTGACTTGGCCCCCCCGCGACACTAAACCTCAATCCGCCACTGGAAGAAGTCGTGATACTGTTAAAAGTAAAAATTAAATCTAAGTAAAAAATTATAAAATTACCCGATCAAAAACTTAACAATTTTAACTTTTTTATTATTAATATGTAGACATCCAAAATAAAAAGGTTTCACTGACCTTTCTCCCCGTAAGAAAACACTGTTATCGCTTTTTTAATTTTTTTAACATTCTGGAATCGCTTTCTCGCCTGCGTTAGATTATATAGCTGTTTTTTCTCTTTCTTAACACTTTTTTTGTTTTAAATTTAGAAAAAAAAAAATTTTTTTTGTGATACCGCTGTTAATTAACAGTGGCGATAAAACTCCCTCCCAACTGCCGCCAAAATTGAATTTTTGGTTTACAGCCGCCAGATAAAATAAAAAATTTTCAAAGTTTTTTTTTAAATTAATGAGCAGTTTGAAAAGTATAAATAATGAAAATTTGACATCAAAATTGATTTATTACGGTCTTTATGAAATCAAAACGCTAACTGCAACAAGAACGTAAAATTTATGATTTTTACGTAGTCATTGTAGTTTTTAGTAAAACATCATTACAAAAATTATGAAAACATCTCGGGTTGAAATGTTTTTGCATATTTTTTAAAAATTTAAACTTAATCACATTCTGCTTTTTTTAAAAACTATCCAATAATATTTATTCGAGGAGCACGAGATCCGAAAATAAACATTATTGGTCACCAATTTTTTGAAGTTTAAGGGTGCCAGACACCCTTAAACTTCAAAAAATCGTAACTGTACTGACTTTATAGAATAAAAAGTGGAAACTTGTACAGATTACTTGGGTAACTATTAGAAGATATTTCCTCATAAAACAGACGCTTGCCACGGTTCTAACCCAATGCCACACAAACATTATGATAGCAATACTGTTAGTTTTTTTATGTATAAATATAAGAGGAAAAACCTTAGTTACGTAATCAAACAAAAAATATCTGTTTGATTGTGTGAAAAAAAATTACTGTTTTCTATTAGCATTCAATAACTGTTAGAATCTAAGATGGAAATTGTAATAAAAATGAATTAAAAAGGTGATTTTATATAGTTAAATAATTAAATTATATATATATATATATATATATATATATATATATATATATATATATATATATATATATATATATACATATATATATATATATATATATATATATATATATATATATATATATATATATATATATATATACATATTTATATATATATATATATATATATATATATATATATATATATATATATATATATATATATATATATATATATATATATATATATATATATATATCAACGATTTTAAAATTATTAAAAAAAAAAATTATTATTATTATTAACTAATATTAATTATTAATAATTTTAAATACTGTAATTATTAGAAATTAAAGAAATAAAGAAACAAAAATAAAAAAATTATAAACTTTCCTAATTCAAATGTTTATAAAGTATTTTAAAATTTAAAATTTAATTAAAAAAAAAATTAATAGCTTTTAACATCGTTTAATTCATAACGAGCTTTCATTACCCTTGTGAATTTAGGCCAGTCTTTGTCAATTTCTAGATTTTTAAAATTTTTTGTTCAAAAAATTCTAAAGCGCTGCAGCCGTATTCACTCTCCATTAAGCTTAACGGAGTTTTATCTGAAATTTCATTACAATATTTTTAAGTGAAGAAATTTTGTAATGAAAAAAAAAACTTTATTTAAATTTGTTTAAATAAAACTAATTAAAATAAAGCATTTGTGTTTAAAACATATTTTTAAAGAATTTTATTATTAATGTAGTTGAAAAGAAATTTTTGACAAGTTCCGTTAAGCTTAACGAAAAGATGAGAATACGGCCCCTGATTTACAATTTAATGGTGATTTATTGGCATTTCAAGGGTACTAAGGAAACAATGCAAGTTTTCTTAAACAAAAGTTTTACTTATATTGTAAGCTATAAATTCTATATATAAATTTTTTTTTAATACAAAAGATCTTTTGCAATATATTATTAGATCGAATTATTTTTCCTGTCAAAGAATTGGCATCTCATTTATATGCAACTTTTATCTCTTTTATATCCAACTTTATTTAATTTTTTGTTTCTGAAGCTGACACAATGAACTCTATTCAATTGAATTATTTTTATTTTTGTTAAGTTAAACCATAGCTTACTTTATTTTCTTCCAATGAATAAAATTACTTTTAAAATACCTCTATTAGAGCTCTTAAAGTTCCACATTATGATAGTTTCATTTTTTAGTTGCAAATCTGACAACTGAAAGCTAAATGAAAAATTTTTATTTTTTTTTATTTTTTTTATTTTTCATTATTTTTTTGGCAAAATATTTTTCAATCACTCTAGTTCCCTTTACCTTAATTAAATTAATTTTTCTCACACCTGTTTTGTTCATAAAATTTATTTGGGTTTCGGAGTAAAGGTTATATTATGAATGGAACCCCATCAGATTGAAGAGGTTGAATGTTTTACATATCACTATTTCTAAACACCAAGAGATTTTTGGATGAAAATGGAGTTTTAATAATGTAATTTGAACTTCTTAAGAAAATTACTTTTACTCGACTAGGGTAAAAAAGCAAAATATCCTAGTATTTTTCTTTCCAAATTCTGGTTGTCGCAATTTTTTGTAAAACATCATTTAAAACAATCATGAACATATAAAAGTTTGAAGTTTACACAATGTTTTGAAAATAGCCATTTTAAACAGAAAAAAATTCAAAGTCCATCAATTTAAACTTTCTTAAATATTGTGCATGTTTTAAAATTACCAGAGATTAGAAACCCAAGGAGGTTCTTAACCCGGAACCCCTAATAATTTAAAATTTAAGGATTCTAGAATCCGAATGGGTTCGAATAGTAGGAGTACGTACTATTCGGTTAACGTATAGTACTACTCCTTAAACTTAACCGAAGTTTAACAAATATTCGCTATTGGACTTCGTTTATTTTTAAATGGCGAAGTTAAACGAACTTTGCGGTACTTAATCCTTATTCCGCAAACAGAATTTAATTGGTTAACATTTCTGGTTATCTTAATTGGTTATCGGTTTCCGTCGAATATTTTATGAGTAATTGTCAGTGTTGTCGTTAGAATCAAAATGAGCACGTGGTGCCATAACTTTAAACATATAAACTTTGTATGTTGACATTTTTAAAATAGTTTATTTATAAGTTATAAAATAAAAACTTCTTTTTACGAAATGTTGCTAAAATTATTTCATATTAATAAAAGTATGTCCATAGAATAAAGTTTATGTTTGATAAAATATAAATATTACACAGACATGATAATTTTAATTTTTGTTATTTTTTGTTGCACCATAATTTATGGTTTAATAAAAATTGCACCATAATTTATGGTGCAAGAAAAGTCAAAAAATTGCGAAAATGAAAAATCAAATTGTATTAAATGTAATTAAAATGATATAAAAATTGCTGGAAAAGCTTATGTTCAAGAAATGAACATTAGCTCTTCCAGCAATGTTGGTACAGTTGCCTATATAAGTTACAGTTTAGATTTAGTAAAAAACATTGTACTAACCAAGCAAAAAATTTAATATATATATATATATATATATATATATATATATATATATATATATATATATATATATATATATATATATATATATATATATATATACACATATATATATATATATATATATATATATATATATATATATATATATATATATATATATATTTATATATATATATATTTATATATATATATATATATATATATATATATATATATATATATATATATACATATATATATATGTATATATATATATATATATATATATATATATATATATATATATATATATATATATATATATATATATATATTTATAAAACATTGACTAACCTAATAAACTAACCTAAGAACAAAAAAAAAACAAATACTTGTAGATGTTTTTTTTGATTTACAGAAAGTATTTGATACTGTAGATCATAGAATTTGGTTATCAAAGTTATATCATTATGATATCAAAGGAATTGCTCTTATATTGTTTAAATTATATCTCTTGAATTGTTCTCAATTTATTACAATTTCAAAACCTCCTAAAACTAAATCCATATTTATAGGTGTTTGCCAGGGCTCAATTCTTGGTGTTCTCTTTATATATATATATATATATATATATATATATATATATATATATATATATATATATATATATATATATATATAAACAACCTAAACACATGTACTACATTCTTTTTTCTTTTTTCTTTATAAAAAAGAAAAAAGAATGTATCTAAACACATGTTTAGTTGTTGCTATTGGTATTATTATGTCAGTTTTGTTTTATTTTGATATTAATTACATGTTGCTTATTTTTAAAATATTTTGTTTTTCATAAATTAGTATACTTAAAAAAACAAAATTTATATATTTTATTTATTATATTATTTATTTTTTTTAAGTTTATATGTTATTATTATTTTACTTTAGATTAGAGGTTAAGACAGAAGATTTCAATTGTAGTGAAAGAATCGTTCCTGAGCCATGTAACTGGTATAATTTCATCACCTTTTTGTTTCTTAGTTAAACAAAATAATATAAACATATATCAATAAAAAAGATATTTTATTATATTTCTTAAACAATGTTTTTTAAGTAAACAAGCTATTCAGCATTATTATTTTAGGAGGTACATAACATATTTTCAAAATCAGTTTCGAACTGGATCATTTGAATTGATCATTCAGCATTATTATTTTATTTATATTATTTACATTATTATTTTTCAAACTGGATCATTTGAATTGATCATTCAGCATTATTACTTTAGGAGGTACATAACATATTTTCCAAATCAGTTTCGAACTGGATCATTTGAAAATGTTGTTGTTGCAGTTTTTGGCTTCTTATATCCAGTTGCTGTAAATATAACCTTAAAAGATAGCAGTAGCGAAAAAATATATTTATCAAAGATATATAATATTCAACCAGGTTTTTAAAAATATATATTAAAAATATTACTTTTTATTCTTCTGTTTATATCAGTTATATTTGTTGATTTTTTTTTTTTTTTGCCCTTTATATACTTCATTTGTTATGACTTTAGAAATTTTGAACACATTTCCATTATACATTGATCATAATGCACCCTCAACTTTGAAATTCAACATAGAAGGTCATGGTGTAGTTGGGAATCAAGTTTGGGTGTTCAAAAATGAAAGTAATTATATCAGTGTATCAAAGCTTGGATTAAATGTATTGATTCAAACAGATAAACCAGTATACAAGCCTGGTCAAACAAGTACTTTTTTTATTATTTGTCTGAAGTTTTCATTATATGTTAGATCAAAATCAAATGTTGTTTGTTTAAAAGAAGTTTTCAATTTCTCTTATCAAAGTAAAACTTTATTAACTTTAAAAATTATAACCATTTGAATAATTATGGATGCGTGTATTATAAACCATATACATATATACACTTATTTTTGCTGGTTTATGTTGCAATTTTCTAATATATTTTTATTGTTTATGTTGATATTTAGTAAAATGTCGTGTTGTAGTGGTTAATGCTGAGTTGAAACCTCATAAAGGTAAACTAAAGGTAACAATAGAAAATCCATCTGGAACTCGTATGCAGCAATGGAATGATGTGGAGCTTGATAATGGTATATTTATTACTTATAAATATGTATGTATAACTATACTAATATATATATATATATATATATATATATATATATATATATATATATATATATATATATATATATACATATAGGTTTTTCTTCGTTTGAGCTGCCCACATCAGAAAAACCTGTTATGGGTGTATGGAAAATAAAAGCAGAAATAGATGGATACACAGCAACACTTGAAGTTGAAGTGAAAGAATATGTGCTTCCACAATTTCAAGTCACTGTGAAACCACCTGGGTTTATTTCAAAAAGCATGGATGAAATTAGCACTGAAGTGTGCGCTAAGTATGTAAATAATATTTTGTTTACATATTTTATATTTTTACTTTTATTTTTAAATAGATTTATAATGTAATTAGAAGCATTACATGGCTCAAATCTGTAAACGTGGGGATTCAGTGCCAGTTTTTATCTAGGCAAGAGAGGCTTAAAAAATATTGTATTTTGACAATTTAGAAAAAAGCGGTTTTATGGCATAGGTTTGGGGTGATAACTTTACCCAAGGGTGTAGAAACCTTTTAGGATACGGGTAAGAAAAAGTTAAAAAACATATTTGGGAGCCAAATTGGGTGCCTAAATTAAAATTTGAGTACATTTTTTTTTAAAACATTTTATGAGGCAAATATTGTTATTTTAGCAAAAAAACCGCTGATTTTCCACTAAAGTTTGTGTTAACAAGGAGGTACTGCTGCCCAAATTTTTTTCCTAGAACAGGCCTTGATAGGTGACTAATAACTAATATAATCATTTGTATCAAAGCAAAATAATTATTAGGAGTGGTGAACTTGACCATCTGAAGCTAGTTTTTAGATGTTTAGATTTAGATGAAAGTATCATATTGCAAAGATGATTGTCTCTCTAATATCCATATTGTTTAACAGGCATTTAAAAAAAGTCTCTGCGGGTATTTTTTTGCCAGCGAGCAGAGGTTTGGCCATTACTGACTTGACCTCTCCTCTGCCAATCATTGCTGTCATTTTTTCAAAAATTTTTAATCAAAATTTTTAATATGTTGTTAGCCATATAGTAAAAACTTGACTAAAAATGAACTTTCATTGGAAACTTGTTTTAACTAAGTTTTTTCTTTCAATATAATTATATACTATGATAAGAAAAAAAAAATTTGCATGACTTAAGCCTTGTAGTTTTTGAAAAATTAAAGTTTGGGTCATTAACCAACTTACAATAGGAGAAAAAAATTTATTTTTAATTTTATGCTAGAGATATTTTGAGGGAAGTAAATTAAATGTTAATTACAATTTTCTTAAGAACATGTTAGTTTTTTTAAGAGCAATTGTTCTCATATTAGGGCCAGCGCAAATGGAAAAGGAAGGAAGTGTGACCTCTATAAATGAATTTTAGTTCATCAACAATACTGGATTTTTTAGTTAATTTATCTTCCTTAGGGTTAGAAGGCCACTACAGTCAAGGAGGCTACTTGAGTTGTGGTTACAACCCTCTCTCAACTCTCTAACTCCAAATAACAAACCTTGACAAACAAGGCTGCTGCACAGAGAAACAAGTTCAGTGTGGTGACTGTAAAATTGCTAGCGTACCTCTTAGCGAATAACCATATGTGCTGTTAGTGTGCACATTAAATCCAGGTACATTCAAATAAATAAGTTTTTCATCTGAAATTTTGTTAATTTCGCTTGCAAATGCATAGGGTGCATTAATAATACGTGTTTTATGATTGGTACTGCTATTTTCTTTTCCATCCATCGGGTAAAAATTTGATATTAATAATTATAAATAATTAAATATTAAATCTAGATAAATAATTAGATAAATAATAACTTAATGAATCAAGAAATTTAATACAATAATACAATTTAATAAAATGTAATAAAATTAAACAAAGAACTAATACTAAATTAAATAAACCATCATCAAATGTAAAAAGTCTTCGCTTTAAGTATTTTTAACCTTGTTTACCAGGAGATAAGAAAATTTTGTTTTGAAAAATAAACTGTTTTTTCAAAACAAATTGCTTAAATGATTTTTTTTTTTGTTCAAATTGCTTTTTTACAATTGCTTTTGTAAAATGCATATAAGAACAAATAAATGCGCATATAAGAATGAATAAAGGCACATATAAAAATGAATAAATGCGCATATAAGAATGAATAAATGCGCATATAAGAATAAATAAATTTGCATATAAAAATGAGTTAATGCGCATAAGAATGAATAAAGGCGCAAATAAAAATGAATAGATGCACATATAAGAATGAATAACCCTGTAATTGTCACTTTAAAAACTTTTAATTGTCATTTTAAATGTCACTCTATTGACTAGCTTTAATTTATAATACCTGTTGTAAATTTTATAACTAATAGTTAAATAAATGAAAAAGGGTATATATGAAAGATTTTTGTTTCAGCAATAAAAAAATTAATTTTTTTCATTATTCTCTGTTTTTTCTTTGTTTTTTTGAATAACTGTCTTGTTTTAAGTCTGCATTTAAGTCTGCATTGTAGTAATACCAGTTTAAGTACTGGATTATATTCAATCATCACAATTACTAAAGCTTTTATTACATTTACCATTAATATCATTACTTACCATAATACCATTAATAATAAGTGGCATCATATGAGCTGGGTATGACCATATACTTAGGAATGCACTGCTTATGGTGTATTAAACAAGACTGCATCTTTGTGTAATCTAACTTTCCATAAATGATCATTTTTGACTGTTTAAATTGAAAAAAAAATTTTTTAGCATTTGACATCAAATAATAAACATTTTTATACTAGATAATTTATTTACATTTTCTTTTATTTTTTCTATTAAATTTAAAAGTTTAAATATAATTTATATTTAGATACTCTTATGGAAAATCTGTAGTAGGTGTGATGACTGCTCAAGTTTGTCAAAATAAAGATTACTTTAATCAACAAGACTATTGCTTACAAGTTGTAAAAAAGGTTAATAAAAGATTCATAGTAAACAAATCTGTTTTTATGTTTCTTAAGTAAACAAAACTATATTTAACAAAACTAAATTAAAAAGTACTGAGAATTCTTTATGAAGCTTCATGAAGAGTTCTTTACAATAAACATAGCTTGAAGTTGAAGAAAAAACATTCTATTAATTATATTGTTGTTAGAATTTTTTCCAATTTATAGTATAACTTATATTCATTAGATTGATGGGTGTGCAACATTTAAGACTTCAATGCGTTCTTTAATTAGAAATAGAACTCAATGGTATTACCCAAAAATTAGTTTTAGTGCTCAAGTAAAAGAAGATGCAACTAGTATATCACTAAATTCATCAGTGGAAACAGTCTCTGTGGTGAATAATCCAATAAAACTATCATTTGAGGGTAGCAACATATTTAAACCAGGATTTCCATTAACTGTTAAGGTACTTTTTCTATACTTTTATTAAGCAAGCAAAATTTATCACTAATATTGTTGAGTTATTATTGTTTATTATTATTATTTTAGTTTTCTATAATAAATATGTGAAACCTTGTTTAAAATTCATGTTCTTCATATCTAGATAAAACTCAAATCCCCCATTGATATATGTACTGTACAGTTCCAGTACTTTACAGCTCCCTGTTTCAATGTCACATCATCAATGGTGTTTTATGTGAAGCTAAGTACCCAAAGATATATATATATATATATATATATATATATATATATATATATAATATATATATATATATATATATATATATATATATATATATATTTATACCGGGTGAGCGAGCAACAGCGTAATGCAAAAAATATAAAAATTTGAAAATACACAAAAAATTTATTTCAATTCATAACTGACTAGAATTTTGACTAGATGTTTATTCATGACTAAGGTTTAAAATTATTCAATGTGGCCACCATTGGCATCATACACAAGTTGGATACGCCGCTGGAAGGATCTGCATGCATTCTTGACATCTTCTTCTGGAACTTTTGCCCATGCTTTGCATATAGATTTTTTTAGTGACTCGGTCCTTCCATGGGGAATCTTGCAAGCCTCCTTCTCCCTAGCTGTCCACATAAAAAAAGTCTAATGGGTTCAGATCTGGGCTAGATGGGGGCCACTTTAATTTGTCCCAGTACTGACTGTTTTCACTGAGAAATTTTTGTGTCCTTATTGAAGTATGAGCTGGTGCCCCATCCTGCTGAAACACATGCTGACCATCTGGATAGTTTCTCTTTAACCAGGGAATGACCTTCTCTTGCAGAAGGTGGATATACTCATCACTGTCAATTTTTTGACCTTTTTTCACAAAAACTGGTGGACACTTTTTTCCATCACTTGATATCACGCCAAGTACCATCACAGAAGCTGTTTTTTTTGATAAAAATGAATACATGATATTCTCAGGGACTTCTTTTACTTTTTTGGTACCTTTTACTTTTTTGGCAGTACTAAGGTACCTTGTGTTACGACGATAAGTAACTTTATCCACAGTGAAAAGTTTTTCATCAGAGAAGATTGTCACACGCCCAGGGTAAGATTTTTGCCAGTTTAACAATTTTTTGCATCGCTCTTTCCTACTTTCTTTCTGTTTATTAGTGATAAAATGCTTAGTCACAACAGCTCTGGATTTAAGGTTCAAATCTTTCATAACTTTTTGCATTGTGGAGTTGGCAACATTGGCTTCCCTTGCCAACTGGCGGATGGAGCGCAATGGGTTTCGCTTGACTTTCCTTTTGACAGATCTTAAAAGCTGAGGTAATTGTTTCACAGGTTTTGGCTTATTAAAACGTCGTTTGATATCTCCTGTTTCATGAAAAAGTTTTATCACTCGAAAAATTGCTGTTCTGGAGCAGTTTAAAGCCTTTCTGATATCTGATGTAGTCTTATCCGATTGCAACATTTGCAAAATGCTTCGTCTTTTTGATTCTTGCAGATCCATTTTAATTAAATTTTTTTAATTTTTACGTTTTTTTTTATTTCTGTGTAAACCCTTGCGAGTTTGTACAAAAGTTTTTCTATTTTAGTCAATCGATGTATTTACACTCCTCACATGTATTAAGCATTGCAAGAAATATTATTGATGATGTCTCATTCTGAATTAGCTATCTGTTAGGCTTTAGTATATACCAGTGCATGTGATAAATAAAATCGCCCAATGTTATATTTCGTGCTCAAAATACTGAAACATGTTATCAACAAGCCCGATTATGGGCGCTCAGCATCAAGTCTTTGAGAGCGATATTCAGAGTTGGAAATTGGTTGCCATGGGGCCATCCATAAGTTACGTATGCAAGTATGGGGAGAGGGTCATTCAAAAGCGTACCAGTGTGTCCAAGGGAAAGGGTGGTCGATTTTTTGTTTGAATTTTTTTTCATGGTAAGTCCGTGAAATCAGACAAAAAAGCTTTGGTTTTTTAGTTAATGCATTTGTCTATCTACCAGCTTTAATATTAAATAAAAACAATGAAATAATGCCATTTACTTAAAGTTGACAACAACATGACATAGCGTAATATGATAACATTGTTATCCTATTGTAGTTGAATTGCGGACATTCTAAACAACAGAAACAATTTTAATTTAGTTTAAAATAAATAATAGTTCAAAAAAAAAAAAAAAAAGTTAAGAATATTTTTTTTATTTACAAAAGATGTGTGAAAAATTAAAATCAACAAAGCAAAATCTTACGTTTTTAAAAAATCTTGTGGATTAAAACTTTTGATTTTTCAAAATTCATTCAAGTTTCAATTTTTTAATTTAAATTTTCTATTCTCATTGGAACGAAACGTTTTTAAAATAGTAAACATTCCATTCTATCTGTAAGCTGTAATGACTTCATAACTTTCCATTAATTGTTTGTACAAAACAGAAAACTGCATTTTAGTTTAAACTAAATGCACAATTTAATTATTATCAAGTGAATAATTTTTTATATACTTGATTATATACTTGTTAAATACATAATAGACTTAGTTTTAGTTTTGTTTAGCTTTACCTTTTTTAATAAATAGACTTTAATATAAGCTTAACGAAATTGAAGATATCTGAAAATATTTAATTTATTAACTTATATTTGATAAAAAATATTTAATATTTCAATGTTTTGATATTTTTAAAGCTAAAAGTGAAGTTTTAGTTTGATAAACTTTTTTACGATAGATATTTATAGATATTATGCTAGGGGGTCATCCATAAAGGACGTCATCCAAATAGGGAGGAGGGGTTCGAGTTAAAAAGGACAAAAAAGGACAAGGGGAGGGGGAAGGTTTTCAGAAAAAGAAGTCACTTTATAGATTTTTTATTTTAGTTTAATTAACATGGAAAACTACGTAAACATGTGTTTTTGAGAAGATAATGTATGAGAATATTTTTAATTTTATTTTTCAAAGGTGTAGCAGCAGATTCAAAGATGAAATAAATTTTTTTGGAGTTAAAAATAGGGAGGGGGTCAGGATTTTATGACGTCCTTTTCCGGGGGGTATAGGGAAAAAGGACAACTGGTGACAAAGGGGGGAAAGGGGGTCAAAAATTGGCTAAAAAATGGTGATGTCCTTTATGGATGGCCCCTAGGTATTTAACTTTTTAACATTTAAGTTTAAAATTTTCATTGAACTGTTGCAAGTTTTCATATTTTATTACATGGACTTTAATGCAATTCAAATTAAAAGTTCTAGTAAAGCGAAGTTACTAAAAAACTGTACAAGTTGGCGAATGGTTCGACTTAACCAAGGTGCGATTAAGCGGATAATATAATAAAGTTCAACTGAAATTAAAAAAAAAAAAGCATGATGAATTTAGCTTTCAAATAGAAGAAATATATCATTTTTAATTTGAACTTATGCCACAAATTAAAATTAAAGTACATCACACATAAATTATGCATGACATTTATTACAAATTATTCACTTGCTTTATTAAACAATTATCATTCACTAATATTCGTGGTCTTCAAAGTAAAATTTCTTAGTCTTGTCTCTTGTAGAGTTCACCAGACCTACTTGCTTATTGTGAGACTAACTTAAGTTTAGCTGTCTCATCTTATGATCTTAGTGTTGATGGTTATCTTTCTTTAGAATTCACCCATTTGTCGGGAAACTAGGTTTGAGTCTACTGAATACTCTTTTATGTGCTTTCATTTAGCACCATTTCACTCTATCACCTTTCTCTTTGTTCTATATCGTTCTCCTTCATCTCAAGACAGTACTCTTCTTGATGTTGTTTCTGATTATATTGACAAAACCCTCTCTCTTTATCCATCAGCCAATATTCTTGTTGTCGGTGACTTTAATGTTCACCTCACTGAATGGCTTGGCTCTAGTGTCAGTGACTCTGCAGGCATTAAAGCCCACAATTTTTTGCCTTTCTTAATCCCTAACTCAAATAGTCAACTTTCCAACTTGTTTTCTAGACAACCCGAATCATTTACCTTTTCTACTCGACTTGTGTCTTGTTTCTGATCCTAGTCATTGCTCAGTTTCTCCACACTTACCCTTAGGTGCCTCTGATCATAGTGTGATCTCTTTTAAACTACTATCTTCTTTATCATCAGACTCCCCCTATCATCGTACATCTCACAACTACCTTAAAGCTAACAGGAACTCTATCCGTGATTTTCTTCGTGATGGGGCTTGAGTAGAAATCTTTTGTCTTCCTGTTGACAAATATGCTTCTTACAAAACTTTGTGGATTCAGGCTGGCGTGGAATTCTTTATTCCCTCTCGACAATTTCAGGTCAAGCCTCGCTCTTCTCCATGGTTTTCCTCACATTGTGCTCACATTGTGCAATTGAAACCATTACTTCCATATCTATCAGCAAAGCAATTCTCCAGAAAACAGACGTCTGTTTATTACTGCTAAGAACCATTGTAAAAATATTTTATAGACTCTGATAAGCAAGTGATAAGCAAGAAAAGTAAGACTCTGATAAGCAAGTGCTTATCAGAGTCTTGTTTTCCAGCCTGCTTGAAAGTAGCATCTGTTATCCCTATTTTTAAAAATTCTGGAGAGCGATCCGATTCATCTAACTACCGTCCCATTAGTCTTCTTCCTATCATAAGCAAGGTCTTTGAATCTTTAATTAACAAACACTTAATCTCTCATCTTGATTCTAATAACTTACTTTCTGATCATCAATATGGATTTCGATCTTCTCGTTCTACGGCTGATTTGCTATCAGTAATAACCGATAGGTTTTATTGCGCATTAGATAAAGGTGGAGAGGTTAAGGCCATCACTCTTGACATTTCTAAAGCGTTTGATAAAGTTTGGCATGCTGGTCTCCATAAGCTTTTTTCTTACGGTGTATCTGGAAACATCATTAAGATTATTGAATCCTTTCTTTCCAATCGTAATATAAAATTTGTCCTTGATGAACAGCACTTTTCTTATTATTCTGTAAACTCATGGGATTCTCAAGGTTCAATCCTTGACCCTATACTCTTTTTAATTTACATTAATGATCATCTAGATATTCTCACATCTAAAGTGGCATTGTTCGCTGATGATACTACCATTTATTCTTGTCACGATAAGAATCCAACTCTCTCTGCTTGGTTGCAGGGGGCATTTGAGCTTGAAAAGGATCTCACTTCTGCTACAGCTTGGGGCTCACAGTGGCTGGTGAACTTTAATTCAGATAAAACTCAATTTTTTTTTAGCCAATCGTTATCGCAATAGTTTAGACCTTCCTATATTTATGAACAGTAATGTACTTGATGAGTCATCTACCCTTCATCTTCTAGGATTAACTTTTACTTCTGATCTTTCTTGGAAACCTTATATCAAATCCGTTGCAAAATTAGCACCTGCTAAAGATGCATCTCTTTATTGAGCTCAACACTTTCTTACTCTGGATTCTATTCTCTATCTCTATAAATCTCAAATCAGGCCTTGTATAGAATACTGTTGCCATATCTGGGGCAAATCTTCTAATGATGTTTTTTCTCTTTTTGACAAGGTGCAAAAATGCATTGTAAATATAGTTGGACCTGTTCTTGCAGCCAACCTTCAACCTTTGTCACATCGTGGTAATGTTGCTTCTCTTTTTCTTTTCTACAAATACTATAATGGGCTCTGCTCTAAAGAGCTAGCGTCTCTTGTGCCACCTACTAAAACTCATTCTTGTGTTACTCGTCATTCAATTAAGTTTCATCCTTTTTCTGTTACTGTTCCTAAGTGCTCCAAAAACTCTTATTCATCTAGTTTTTTTCCTTGAACATCAGTTCTTTGGAATTCGCTTCCTTCATCTTGTTTTCCTGATTCATATAATTTGCAATCTTTTAAGTTGTCTGTCAATGGTTATCTTGCTCTAGAATCTTCATCTTTTCTCTTCCAGTAACTTCCAACACTAATTATTGGTTGCTTGCAGCCTTGTTGGAAGCAAAGATATTTAAAAAAAAAATCTTTGTAAAATGAAATATAGAAACATTCAAAGGGTTTACAATAGGAAAAATCTAACATCACTTTGATTTCTTAGTTATACTTGATATTCATATTGTTTAGATCTAATTCTTATTATGTCTTTGTAAAGTAAAAAAATAAAAAAAGGATATTGGAAGAGCTTCCATGCAAAACCAGACAAATCCATATTCAAAAATTTTAACATAACTTGATATTTTTATTTCCTTGATTTCTGTTGGCAACATTCTATTATCTCCAACATAGCATACATTGACGAGGGTGATGGCTCACAGAACAAAGAAAATTTATGACTATTATTACAAAACATTGTTTACTATTGATATCACCATGTCTTTTTACTTTATTTCACTGCAATGTGCTTTTGACTATAATATCTGTTTTTTGCTGTTGCAAAAAATTCACACCACTATATTAAACTTTTGTTAAATTTTCAGAATTATCTGTATCAATTATAGATTCACTGTCTGTCAGTGTCTTGTAGAAAGCTCTCTGATATATAAAATATATATTAGTTATAGTTAATCTTTTTTTAAATAATTGCATAAATAAGATGAATGTGGCTTGAAAAATGAGTAGAAAAACAGTTTTGTAAATTAGATGTTTTTTAAACTTTCATTAAAATTAAATTTCATTTAGCATGACTATGTAAAAGAAAAGCATGGAACTGGACTTAAATTGCCGACCAGATAAAAAAGCATTGTTATATACTCTGGAAATAAATATACTCTGGAAAATTTTCCCAGCTTTTTCCAAATGTCACTTTAAGGAGGTTTTCAATATCTGCAAGTGTCATAGTAGACAAAGGTTGAGAACCTGTCACTTGGTTTGGTTTCATCTTTTGAATGAAATGATTTTGCTTTCAATAGTGACTGATAACTGTTTGTACTTGTATTAAAATCTTTCTCTCTACTTCTCCACAATTACAGTAATAATGCACTTTTTGCAGTCCAACAAGCGGTTTTTATGTTGCTGCTGCAGCTGCTTTAAAATCATGCAATACCCAGTCCTTACTGTAATCAAACACTTCATCAGCATGAATTTTGAATATCCCATGATACTTTTCATTCATAGTGATATTTGACTTGGTTGCTGTGTCTTGTTATATACTTTCAAATAGGTAGTTGCACAGTAAAATGGAATGACCTTGTACTGGAGCTATCAACAATACATCTTTAATGTGGCTTCTGTCACCAACAGTTATTTCGTGAACCCAATGCCGAACCATGCTCAAAAGGGTATTGCTTTTGTTCTGCCCTCCACAACCATTGCTGAAATTCGACTCATGACTCTTGCCTAGAACTACCAAAAGTCTTTACTAAGAAAGTGGTACACCGCACATGGTTTCTCATTTAAACTACATGCTGTCTCACTCTTCATCCATCTATAACAGTAATTTTTCCTGACCACATGTCACAGATTGCAAAATTGTATATAGCTAGCTAGGATAAAAAGCTTCCTGAACAGGCACCTTAGGCAAAACTCATACTTGCTGCAGATTGTATACAATCTTGTATATTTTCATCAGAGTTCTTTAGTAAGCGGTAAAATGCAGCATGCTTCTGCAAGTGAAATTTTCTTTAAGTTCAGCTACAACCTGGTCTTAAACTGCAAAGAAAATTTCACTTGCAGAAGCATTATTCTTTAGTATAACGTAGTGAACAAATATCTAGACTAAGCTATAGAATACATAAATAGTTAAATAATATTTTATTGATACTTAATCAACAATATCTTACATGCTATTAAAAAAATTTTAGAAACAACATTTTTGACACTAATGTGGATCAACAATATATTAACTTAAATAACTAACATGTTAACTATTTATTAAATGTTGAAAATTTGACAACAAAATTGTCGAAGATTCAACTTAGCATAATCGCTTAGCATAGTCAGTGTGGTGTTGTTGTCTCATACTTAACCCATGTTTTTTATATTCATGATAAACAGATTCACCTGCTTGTTCTGAGTAAATTTCAAGACCATTATCAGTGTTGGTACTGTTTACACACTTTTAATGCAACAAAATACTTATATTTTGAAGATTAAAAGAATCAACTAATTTTCTAAGATTTCCATTATGTTCAGATATTCCGTCTACAATAGCAGCAATATAACATTGCTTCACTCCAGCATCATTAAGGTCAGGTTGGTTGCTAGTTTTATCATGTGGATTAAAAATATTTATTGTGACCTTTAAAAAACCTTGACTAGAATCCACAGCAATTTTAACAATTGTAGAAAAAAAATGAATATTTCTTACAGTGATTTTAGCATCAAAATCCTTTGTATAAATCATTGATTTATTTTCTATATTACTAGCTTCAAAGAATTCTTCTTCTTTGCATAAAAAATGTTCATTCATTTCAGCTTTTAAAGCTTCTAACATTTTAATTATATATCCTTCAATAAAACTTTGAAACCCGAGACTCTTTCTAAATATAGAACAATTTACTTTTTATGGTTTAGAGCAAAACTGATTTTCTTGTAAATTAAAAAAGACTACTTAAATCCATTATTAAAATATGTTATATGATTTATAAACTATTAAGGATTTATAACAAATATATGTTATATGATTTATAAATTAATAACGGTTTATAACAAATAATATGTTATATGATTTATAAACTATTAACGATTTATAACAAGTAATATGCTATATGATTTATGACCTATTAAGGATTTATAACAAATAATATGTTATTTGATTTATAAACTAGTAATTTAAATCATGATATTGTAAATATTATATATACATATATATATATATATATATATATATATAATATATATATATATATATATGTATATAAATATATATATATATATATATATATATATATATATATATATATATATATATATGTATAAATATATATATATATATATATATATATATATATATATATATATATATATATATATATATATATATGCTTACCTATTTTTATGTTTTAAGCTTCTAGCAAGATATATTGATAACACACCAGTAGGATCAATACTGGTAAATATTCGTGCTGGAACAACAGGTTATTCTTCTTCTGATCTATTAAATCGTGTATTTGAGGTTAAAGCTGGTTTTTTAAATGTTGTGCTTCCTGACATTCCATTTAATGCTAAAAGTATCAACTTGTTAGTAAGTAATTTTTTTTAATTTAATTTTAATTTTATATTTTTTGTCTGTTTATTATTTGTTTTCTTAATAAAATTTTATTTGAAATTAAAAGCTAACAAAAATACTATGCAAATAAAATGATGTTTAAAGTCGGATCTAAATCTTTGATATGAATGTAAAATACATACAAAATATCAATAATGCCAAAGTTTTTTGAATTTATAATTTTCACAGTTTTTACCTCTAGATTATCATTACATTTTAAATACAGCCAGAGTACTATGTTTTGTTTAAAACTTTACCTTAAACACAGCTGGAGTTTTGTACCAAATATATAATTATAAAAACAACATTTAACTAAATACTTATTAGATTTGTTTGCTGCAAAACAAGATGTTTAAACTATTATTTTGTAATGTTTTAATTTTGACTTTTGATTTAATTATAATCTAAATAATATAATCTTTTAGTACAATCTTTTAATCCCATAATATAATTTTTGTTTGTTGAAGTTATGTAAAACTCAGTACATTGCATCATGGGTTCGTTTATAATATAAGCTATTGTTGTTCCATGTGCATTGATATTATTTTGTATTATTTTGAATAAAAAACTTTTCAATAACTCTTTAAAAGGCAACTTATGAGAGACCAAAAATTGTTAATTCTGATGAAACTATTTGGGAAAGACAGTCATCTGCTAGTAAAACAATTGAAGCTTGGTATTCACCTTCTCATAGTTACTTGTTTATAGAGAAACCTAAAACAGCTGTAAAAGTATGATTTTTAATTACATTTTTTGTTTAATTTATAATTGCTGTTTAATAAACTTGTTATTCTTTGTTATTATTATTATTTTTATTAAAATATTTGAATTAAATTATTTTTATTAAAATATTTGAATTAAATTATTTTTATTAAAATATTTGAATTAAATTATTTTTATTAAAATATTTGAATTAAATTATTTTATTTTAAATTATTAATAAAACAGCTGTAAAAGTATGATTTTTAATCTTTATTTAAAGTTTATTTAAATTTTTATTTTGTTTATTTTACTTGAATGTTACTTAATTAAATTATGAATTGTATTATGTAAATTATTATAAAAGATGTATATATTGTTTAAAAAAAGATATATGTAAAAATAAATATAGATTCAGTTATAAATTGTATGTATATATATATATATATATATAATATATATATATATATATATATATATATATATATATATATATATATATATATATATATATATATATATACATACATACATACATACATACTTTTTTTTTTTAATTAACATCTTCGCCTCCAACAAGGCTGCAAGCAACCACTAATTAGTGTTGGAAGTTACTGGAAGAGAAAAGATGAAGATTCTAGAGCAAGATAACGATTGACAGGCGACTTAAAAGGTTGCAAATTATATGAATTAGGAAAGCAAGATGAAAGAAGCGAATTCCAAAGAACTGATGTTCGAGGGAAAAAACTAGACAAATAACCATTCAAATCTGGATTCTATTCTCTATCTCTACCAATCGTAGCTCTAAAAACTCTGTCATCAATCAGAACGTTTGAAAGGTTTATTTCTATTTTAAGACAGCTTTGATCTTTGAAAATTTGATTCATATACAAAAATAAAAAATTAATTATATACAAACTGACATTTTGTAAGAATAAATGAGAACCACATAAATTAAACATTGAGTTTTAAAAGTAACTGAAGTTTAAAATGCAACAGCTTTTTACTGTCTACTTGAGGAAAAATTGACTTAATTGATTTTATTCATAGCAAGTTTTACAATGACTTTGCCATAGCACAAAGTTTTTGCAAGATCATACTCAATGGAAATAAATAGAAAATTAGTGAGTCAATCAAGTTTTGAGATTTTAGTGCTATCTTGATGAGACCGCTCATCTTTAGCGATGGAAGCAGGAATTGCATTGAAAATACAGAGCAAAATGCATACTGATTCAATAAGAGACTGTCCACCTTTCTGGTAGATCCTATTCATGTGATTGATTCTTCAAAAAGTTTTATTTGGCCTATTACTGAGATTTATAATAATTATTATATTCAGAGAATTATCAAAATGAGAAAATGTTTGTTGTCTTTTCTGAAGCTTGAAATTAGTCTTGTACCTTATGCTTAAAACAAACCTTTTGCTTTAAAGAGTGGTAAAAAATATGCTCACTTTTGTGACACTTTTGTTATTCTTTGTTTTCATGAAAACGAGCTTTGTTCCTGGCTTTGTGAGAAATGAGCTTTTTTCCTTTTGCCTTCAATTAGATTTTGTCCTAATGAGGACAAGAAAGAAGAAAAGTCTTATGTGAAAGATCATCAATAAAGCTTCAAAAGCTTTTTTTCATTATCTAAGAAGATGTTTTCTGATTGAAATGAGACACTGAAAAGGTTTATCACTTGAATGGCTTGGACCTAAAGGTTGTCAAGCTGATAAGTTCAAATGACTATATCCATTTCCTCAGAGATTTTACTTCATTCAATTGATCATTAGCAAGCTTCTGAAAAAAAAATTATCACAAAGCTTCTGAAAAGAGATTTGAGAGAGATTTCCCTGGGTTGCTTAACCAGTTGGTTAAGGAACCCTTATAATTTTTTAGTCTTTAAAGTTAGTTTACTAAAATATCTATAAAAATCTTTTATTTTTATTTAACATTTATACATAGTATTAAAAAGAAAAGATTAGATTAAAAGTAGGATATTTTCATTTTTATATATTTTACAGAACGGTAGCATAGCTGAAGTGATAGTTCACTACACCTCAGTTGATCCTGTACCAAAAAAAAGAACAATCTTTTATTCAGTAAGTCTACTTTTTTTTTTTTTTTTAGATGTAAATTTACATTAAGTCTATTGTGTTGCAATTGACCTTACCAGTGTACACTATTAACAAACTTGACAAATTTACTATAGTATGTATAAATAATACATTTCATTTTATATATATACATACATATGTATATGAAGTAAAAAATATATATACATATATATACAATATATATATATATATATATATATATATATATATATATATATATATATATATATATATATATATATATATATATATATATATATATATATATATATTGTATTTAAGCTTGTATGCACTGGAAACATTCAAGCATCTGGATTTAAAAATGTGAAATTGGTTGCTGCTACCTCAACTACTCGAACGCAAACACAGAAAGTCTCAACAATCCAATCAACAACTACAACAACAGCAACAACAAAGAAAAATTCTGAATTTCATTTTAACAATACAGATGAGTTATCACTTTCTAGGAAAATCATAATACCTATTTGGGGAACTAAAAAGCCTATAACTCGGCCACCTTTACCATTAAAATATAGTAAGGGTCGTTTTACTATTTCATTCCCTGTTACGTCAAAAATGATGCCACTTTGTCACATGTTGGTGTATTACTTGTATGGAAATGAGGTGGTAGCAGATAATACTGATATTGAAGTCGTTAATGAATTTGAAAATAAGGTATTTTTTCATAATTTTCAGTTTTTTAAATTGAATTAAAATTTATTATAATAAAATTATATACATATGTTTAAAGGAATTCCCAACTCCCAATATATGTTATTTTCATATTGAAGGTAGTGCTAAACAAAAATGTTTGAGCTAAATCTTTTGATTAAAACAATGTAATAAATGTTAATTAAAAAAAAAAAACTTTGTCGCTTTAGTTGAATTTTGCTTTTATCAATTTAGTCTGATTTAGAAGTCTTTAAAATATATGCGTTTTTATAGACATAAGTCTTTAAAATATTAAATATAATAATATGAAACACTATTAACTACAATAATAAAAAACAGTAACCAAGTTTGGTCGGGAAGAGGGAGTGATTACTCTCAATTGCTGACCATGGAAATAATATTTAGTTGCGAAAAGCTGGCCAGATCTTTTAGTCATTTTGAGAACATTTCAAAAAGCAAAAAAAAATGCGCTAAAGATTAATTGGACCAATGAGAGACAATTACAAAAAAAAGAAAATTAGAAAAATAAAATATTTTTTAACACGAAAAAACTTAAAGGGATCCCTAAGTGCTCCTAACATATGATCTCATATAAAAGAGCATAAAAAAAAAATATGTAAGTTTTTTTTCTTTTTCACTAAATTGTAATAATAAATGCATGCTAACAAATTTTCAAGTAAAAAAAAGTCGTGATTAAATAGTTAAGTTTTAATCAAGTTTTTTTAATTAGTTTTGCAAAAACAGTATAATAGCATTCGGTTGAAATAAGTCGTTAAAAAAAAGTTATTAAGTAATAGGTTTAAATAGTTTAGAACTTATAAAAAAGTCTTACAGGGCTCGTATTAAGCGAATTTAAATTACTTTAAATCTCTGCGTGGAATATTTTTACAAGGTCGTTAAAGCGAAAAGTTGAAAAGTTGGTTTTTATCTTTGTTTATCAAAACTTCATGTTTAAAATAAGGCTTAAAAACGTTAGAGCAAAAAAATTACTGACTTTTATTTGCATTTTTATACTGTTTGAAAAAAAAAACTAATAAAAAAGAATTAATATATAATTATTAATTAATATATTATTAGTTAATTCTTTTTTATTAGTTTTTTTTTTCAAACAGTATAAAAATGCTAATAAAAACCAGCATTTTTTTTACTTTAATGTTTTTAAGCCTTATTTTAAACATGAAGTATAATTCGATTTATTAAACCAAATTTTTTTTTATTGGAAAACTTGAAATAGAAAAATTGAATAAAAACATCAACCATTTAAATGAAAAATTTAATTATATTTAAACTTTTATTAGTCCTTTATTCAAGAAACAATAAATTATAAAAAACGTGGTATCTAATTTTTTATTAAGTTTTTGAAGATGTTTTTTGATTTATTGACAATAATTTTTTCCCCCCATTACCGCACATCGGCGCAAGCTATAAGAGAGAGGGGGGGGAGCAAAAAAAAATTTTTTCGAGATTAAATTTTTTGCGTTTATTCGAGCCCTGTCTTTAATTTCTAATAAAATGTCTATTCAACCTTATCAATTTGAACCAACAAAATATAGCAAACATAAATGTTAATTTAGCTAAAACATTTTACAATCATTATTTTTTTTATCAAGCAAAAATGAGAGTAACCGTCACTTTTAAAAATATAAAAATTACTGAAATAAATTTCTTTTTTTACTAAGGAAATATTTAAAATAAACTTTCATATGTCTAAGTCAATATTCATTTGTTTTTAACTGACTAAAAAGGGTTTAAAATTTGACTTCTATTCATTTTTAGCCGTGGAATTGCCTTTATAACACAAATATATAAATTAATATTATAAAAAAGATTTTAATATACAAATATATTTTCACAAAATGCTACAAAATTTGTTCTTGTAAATAATTATGTGTTAGTTGAAAAAAAATGTCTTTACTTTTAAATTTAATTACCAACTAATAAGTTTGCAATAATGACATTTTGTCTACTTTGTTTAATTTGACGTACTGACGTTAGTTTTTTGAGGCAGTAGAGTCAATAAACTTTAGACAAGACACATTTTTTTTAAGCGAAGAAAAGCGTTTTTTTGAAAATTAAATTTGTTAGTGTTTGTTCATTATTACGTTTTAGAAAAAATAATATACATCAAACATTTTTTTTTTTTATACTCTTTCATATGAGATCATATCTTTATAGCACTTAGGGATCCCTTTAAAGCAAAATAAATTACGTTTAGAACAAATACTATCGAAACATTGCTTTTTATAATTTTTTTATAAAATTAAGCGATGTTTTTTACATAAAGTAACATCTAACGATTGTTTAAAAAGGAAACAAATGTTCTTTATTTAAAAAGAATGTAATGTAATTTTTGTTTATATACTCGTGTCTTATTTCCAGTGCTAGATTAAGGAGGGTTGGGTTTAGAGGGGGCTATAGCCCCAGACCCCGCAATGTTAGAACCTCAAAAAAGTGAAGAAGACCTTTTTGTTTAGTCATTTTTACGCTGTGGCACATACAAAGGCATCTAAAATAAAAATAGCCCCCGGCCCCAAAAAGTTTAACAAGATTCTAATAAAACTAATGCAAGTTTTAGTTTTATCTAAACTAAATTATTTTATAAAAAAAAAAGTTAGTTTTTTAATACCTATTTATGCTTCACGTAGTTTGAAAAGTTTAACATATTTAAAACAATTCTTCTTAGTAAGATGAACAAATAAAATAATTAAATCATTGAACTACTATAGAGATTAAATTAACTAGATAGATATCAACTAAAAAGGTTAAAAATACTTTGGCGAGGAAGCGAAACTGTTTCACAATATCGCTGATGATGTTCAGTGAGTGGGCTTTTTAATTTTAATTAGTATTTAAAGCAGAAAAAGTATAACGAGTTTTTAAGAATGGCAACTGTAGCGAATATAATTAGAGTTAGTAAACCAATATCTAGAAACTTTTTTTTATATCTAATAACTTGCTATATATATTTGTGTTCTGTCGTGACCTCAGACGTGGTGCTTGTTCATCCGCGAGTTACTTTGTATGCATTGTTTGTTTTTAGTAACCAGAAACTTCTTATATGTTTGTTACATAATTAGTTTTATTAACTTTAATAATTATTAATAACTTCATTGAAAACGCAATTATTTTTTTAAGTGTTTGTTTATAAATTAAATCGTAAAAATTGCTTTAAAAATTACATTAGGATAAAAACAGATGCATAAAATTATATTTACATAACAAATACATACTTTTTAAATAAAAATAAGAATATAGTAATAAAATCTATAATTTATAATAAACTTTCAAAATTTTGACAATTTAAAAAATATATATTATAAAACAGATGTTGCAGATGTGGCTCTGAGAATGGGCCATAGTATTGATAATATATTCTTAAAACAATTTATGCTAGAAATCTCAAAATTTAACAAATCGTAAACAATACAATTTCTAAAACATTTTAACAGAATACTCTAGAACTTTATTTCGCTTAGTCAGCGTTTTTTCAATTAATAGAATTTGTTTGTTAATTTGGCGGGTTTTTAGTGTTCGCAAATATTCTTTTTATTCTTCGCACCTAGATGTTTTGAGAACATTTAAGTTTATTATGTTTCCATGTATGTTCGTAAGACAAAAATATTTTGTTAAAACGGAAAAAATAACACAAAAAACTTTACGTTGAATTTGTGTTTATAAGTTCAAAAAGTGTTAAAAGTTCAAAAAGTTTAGAGATCAGGAGGTAATCCACTGGTATTTAGGGTGGTAGCCCTCCTATCAAAGTCCAACTCATCATTGTTAGAGATATAAATACAAAGAAAAACTAACATGGAAATGGATTTTTTAAAGCAGGAAAAGGACCAGGAAATAATACGGGCTCTAAAGTCTTACATGATTGGCGTGGTAAAATTTCTAAAGTTTTGTTATTTCTTAATACCAAAATACAGACAAATGAATTAGAGTATTTGAGACATCTTGAGATATAAAAAATAAAGCACTTGAGAAAAAAATATTAAAAATGGAAAATGACTGTCTGCAGAAAGGGTTAGAAACATGTATTGTGGTACTAGTGGATGAAAAAGACTCTCGAGAATCATTGCCAAAACAATCATACTCAGATGCTATAACAAGTAAAAATTGGTCTACCTCTTCTTTTAAAACGAAATCCCCAGTTGAACAATTAATTGTTGTAAATCCAGCTATTAATGAGCAAAAAATAGAGAAAAAAGAAGAAAAAATATTATTGTCTATGGCCTTCCTGCATCTAAAAAAGCTACATTGCAAGAACAACATGAGGAGGATAAAGAACAAATTAGTAAACTATTTCATGAAATAAATGTAGAAATCGTCCCAACATTCCAAAAAAGGCTAAATACGAAACAAACTGGAAAACCAGGACCAGTATTAGTGATTTTAAATGAAGATTCTGAGAGAAATCCAATTTTAGCAAAATCTAAGTTATTAAGAGAAAAGCAAGATTACAAGGAGGTTTTTATTTTGCCTGATTTAACTGAAGCAGAGAGAATGGAAAACTATGAGCTTAGAAAGAAACGTGACAAAATGAATGGTGAAAGAATAGCAAACTCGCCCTTTAGATATGCGATCGGAGGGAATAGAATTGTCAAATTTAAAATACAACTTAACACAACAACATAAAAAATTAGTAAGTTTGTTATCATTTAATGTTTTATATACGAATGCAAGATCTTTAGTAAACAAAGTTGAAGAATTTAAAATCTTATGCAGTTTTAAAAATCCTCAAATAATTGCTATTACAGAAACCTGGTTTAATGAGACATCGGAAATTTATTTGGAAGGATATTCTTTGTATAAACGATGTTTATACAAAGAATATCCTTCCAAATAAATTTCCAAATAAGTTTCGTATTTAGCCTTTTTTAGATGTGACTATCCACAAATAAGCCTAAGTATTGATAAAATTGACTGGAATTATTTATTTGATGGGTTATCAGTTCAATTTATGTATGATCTGTTTATTGAAAATATTAGTCAATCATGTAATG